ACAATTATATTTCTTCAAAAGCAGATCGTGGAGACATTTTAATCGTCCACGATCAAAAATCATCATATTGCACACCCCTAACTACCAAGTATAATCAATCTCACACACACAAACAAGCACAATGAAATCACTTCACACTATTAAGCGGCTGTGTTATGAACATGCAAAACTGTATCGCACGCGTGCTACAGTGGTAAATTTATTCATCGCACAGACCAGTTTTTTCGTAGCACGTGCGACATATATGTATATGTATATATATATATACACCTTGCTACGTGTAACCGAGACTTGTCATTTGCACTTATATATTGTTGCTTTTTTGTTAGTTTTGACTGCTTTTATTGTCCTCATTTGTAAGTCGCTTTGGATAAAAGCGTCTGCTAAATGACTAAAAGTAAATGTAAAAAAATGATATGAGAATAATCGAGCATCGCGTTAGTTCAGGCAGGCCACGTCAGTCAAGCTTGTATCAGCTGATGATCAGCTGTTCATGATGTGTATCCAGTTTTTTTTTTCAAACAGTCTGTGGGGTAAAACGCCTCCAGGGGGCATGGCTTAATTACTGTAGTTACTCTGTTCTGAACATCAAATCCTTTGTTTTTCCATCAAATGTATTCTAACTAGTTGGTTGAATAAAAATATCTGGACTTTATATTTAAAAATGACCTCAAGTTAGCCTCTCCGAATAAAACATCAGATCATGCACAGACTATCCTGTCTCTTTGAATTTAAATCTATATTTATTCACACCAGCTCTTGAAAACCTCTATGCGAACACACTTGCCCGAAAAAGTGCGGGGGACGAATTTACGTGATATTAAATGTGGGGGGGGACACGTCCCCCGCGTAATCTACGCCCCTGGTCAAAACTATGATAACTCTTCTGGACAAATTCAACTTTTGTTTCACAGAAAACAATTACACAGTCCTTAAGGCGGGTGTTTCCCCCCATTCTACCCTACATGTAGTATTATGAAAGATAATAAGCAAAAGAAATGTAATAACTTAATACTGATCTTCATTATGTCATGTGCAGGGAAAAACACAGGAACTTCTGCGAATCAGTATGAACTGAGTAGTGTCCGCGTGGCGCGAACTCTTTAATACTGTGCTGTTTCGTCCCACGTTTGGTGTGTTTGGTATCCCATAAGGTACTTTGATTTAAAAGCTTTTACTTAGAGGCTTATTTGTTGTTGTGATATCTGACTGGTGAGATCGCCACTGAGTGAACCACGCCCCTAGTTCAGCCTCGTCCCCTAGGTGGGGGGTTTGTACCAGGGGAGTTTCGAATAAAGTTCACTTACGTACCTGCTAGCTGCTACGAGGGCGATCAGTTCAGAGCAACACGAGTGTGTGTGGACCGAAAAAACAGAAGTCAAGACGTCACTTATTTGGACAGTATCCTGTACCATCCAGATTCTTTTTACATTTGACAAGGTAAAGTTTTTCTGCTTTCCTTACAAAATTAGTTTTCTTTATTTGGAATATTAACTAAATGTGGCCTAGTTTCTTGTCCGCTACATTAGAAATTCAGCAATATTGTGTAAATATAGACTAGAGGCAGAGAGTTGGAAAATCAGTTTATCTCTGACACTTTTGGCAGGTATTCAGCATGTCGCAACACTTTCAGTAACTTTCGATTCCTTTCACAGGGCGTGGACAGACTGAGAGCATAAGAGAGTTTTTCATACACAATATTATTAGGGGCCAACACCGAAGGTTCGTAGGAACCTATTGTAATCATTAGCGTTCTTATTCTTCTTCTGCTCTGGGAGTTTATGGCAGCCCATAGAACCGCTTGCGGGAAAGTTATGAATTTTGGCACACAGATAGAGGACAGTCTCAACATTAACCATTGCAAGTTTGGATTCTCTAACTCATTCTCTAACTCTCTAGCACCATCAACAGTTCAAATTTGCACATATGTTTATGCTAATAACTTTTGAACCATAAAGTTTAGAGGCAAAATTATTTTTTCCCCTCTGATTCCTTAGCTCATGCCGAGTCAAAGGGACACCAAAATTTTAAATTCTACGGGTCAGGATTTTTTTTGCAATTTTTAATTATTTGGAAAAACCTACTTATTCAAACTCATCCTAGGGTCTGATTTGTCTGGTTTTCACCAAAATTAGCTCAGATCATCTTCAGACAATGCTGGCAAAAACTTGAAATTCAAGTTGATTAGTCAAACCATTCTCGAATAACGTGTGAACGAATTTGACGAAGAACATGCCAAAATGGACAAAAGACTAAATCTGTACAATGCTTTAGCGCAATCAAACCAAACTTGGTGTGTTTTATATTGACGATGACCTAAGGGTAGCTGCACAGTTTCGGCACAGTGCCACCTAGTGGTCAGGAGATATGAAAAATGAATATTTTTGCTTATAACTTCTGAACAGTTTGGCCAAAAATCACAAGACTGGTCTTTAGATCCAGTGCAATATTCCGAGTCAAACAATATCCAATCTTCCCATGTCGGCCATTAGTCAACCAGAAGATGCTTAGTTGATCAAAATTTCATTAGTCGCTTAATCGCAGAACAAAAAATCCACAGGAACTGGCTAAGTCACGTCAAAGACTATAGAATACCCAAGATGTGTCACTCGTATAGTTTTGAATGGGGAAAAATGCAACGCTCAATATGGCCGCTCAATCGCAGGAAGCCCCGCCTTCTGAATGAAGGAGCCAATCGCTAATCGGTAAAGTCAGCACGTCACTGCAGCTGCCGTTAGAAGTCCCGGTTACTATAGAAACAGTCAGTGTTGAGACATGCGCTCAGGACTGCGCATGCGCACTGGCTAATCTAGCCTGAATAATACACTTTTTATAATGCTATTTGAGCAAAATAAACAACATTTATGACACAGTTGATATCGGATTTCTTTGGTGATTTCAAATATGAAATTTAATCGCAAGCTTAGTGAACAGTTTTGTAGAATTTGATGTTTCCCCATTCAAAGAGATAGGAGTTAAACTTGCATGCCTGAGAGGCGTTTCAAAGATGGCCGCCGAGTGACATGACTTGTCTTAAAGGGACTTTGGTCACGTTGTCTGTGACAGACAGATCATTAACAGCTGGTCTATGTGGTAATTACAGTACATCAGTCAGGACATCCAAACGTTCGTTTCAATCATCTGAAACATGTAAGTAGCAGCATCATTACATGGTATCATTACATTACTATAATTAACTACCAGATCTCATGAAAGTGCATATCAATAGCACGATTTTCTGTTTCTATTTGACATACTATTTATACGCAGAAATTGAATTTGGCGTGCATATGATATGCAATGATTAGGATTAGGGGTGTGGGGTAGGTGCTTATTATATATACGCCAAAACTCCATATCATACACACGCCAAGAAAGTGCATATTATATGCACGCCAAGCACATGCATATCATACGCAAGCCAAAGTCAATTTCTGCATATAAATAGCACGCCAAATAGAAACATAAAAAACGTGCTATTGATACGCATTTTCATTAGACAGAAGAAAAAGTTGAATAAAGTTGATATTTTGTTTTCTTTGCGCACAAAAAAGTATTCTCGTCGCTTCATAATGTTACGGTTGAACCACTGATGGCAGAAGGACAATTCTGACGACATCTTTCATACTTTTCTAGACCTTGACAGTGTAATTTACTTGGCAGTGAATGGGACAGTCACAACCTCCCGGTTTTCATCCAAAGTATCTTAAAGGGGTGGTTCATTGCGATTTCACTTTTTTAACATTAGTTAGTTATGTGAAAAATAATGCGTTTTTTAAAAAACGAAACATTAACACATGTTAGACTGCACCCCATAAACACAATCAAGCCTAGAAAAAAACCACTGAACCACCCCTTTAAATTGTGTTCCGAAGACGAACGAAGCTTTTACGGGTTTGGAACGACATGGGGGTAAGTGATTAATGACAAAATTTTCATTTTGGGGTGGAGTAACCCTTTAACCTAGAAAAATTTGCGCTATTGAATTGTTCGTGCGGAGTGTGGAAGCTGAACAGTAACGAGCTCACTGCATGACAGTTAACTGCATGACAGCCAGTGTGATCATTTGCATTTAACTTAAAATACTCTGTCAGTGTAATACATCTTTTGAATCTGTGAAAGGTCTACTTTTATTTGTGTGCACTCACAGTAACAACAAAACGTTGTGCTTTTGTAAAATAATGAAAGCAATGAGGGTGCGCTTTCTGCCATCTAGGTCTATCTGAACTTGAGCGCGTCAAAAAAAAAAAAAATTGAATCGAACAGTGTTTGCCTCACACACATGAAAAATATATATATAGAAAATGTCTACTTTTAAATTAACCAATTCAAATGTAAAACAAATATTTTCAGATTATGTAATAATAATGTAATCCATATGAAACGTGCACACCCACTGTGGAGATGAGTCAGTGTCGTCGACTTCACTGCAGCCGAAAATACAGAAAACACTTATCAATGAATTATTATAATGTTAAGGCAGTCTTCTCGCTGTTTTTTTCCAGAAGCATTCATAATCATTACTTCTGCCGGTGCGCTGTGGCAAGCTTCATGTGTGCGCTTGAGTGCTGATAGGCTATAGGCAATTAAAGGCTAATTATTATGAATTATATGGTTTATTAATATAAATGTCCAATTAGTCTACTAATCGCTTAATGGGGTCATATGACGTTGCTAAAAAGAACATTATTTTGTGTATTTGGTGTAATGCAATGTGTTTATGCGTGTCCCGGCCGGAGTGACGAGACAAAAACATTATAATCCATTATAAACGAGGCATTTGTTGCATCCAGTGGGGACATATTTACGGATTATAATGACTTCTATAGTCTTTTTACGTGTTTTGTAAAAAAAAGCGTAAACATAAAACCATGTCTGCATTTGTGATCGGAGAAACGACAAACAACAAGCGCTACTCTACACTGCTCAAAACTGGTGTTTGAATAATCTGTGGCAAATTCTTTAAATATGAAAACATACTTACATGTTGTGAGTCAGAACAGCCGGCATTGTAGGTTCAAGAAACAGTCCTCCGTAAAATGCGTTGCACACACACGAATATTTGGTTTGAACTGTTCTGGAACTTAACAGTTGACTTAACTTAACCAGAAACAGCCTTCTTTCTTTGTGTGAACATTAGGGCGGTGTTATGCAAATCATCCCACACAGTGACGTAGACATGTGGGGGCGTGTTTAAACGAGGCATTTTAGGAGGGCGTGGACGAGTCTTATCTTTTATAAAGAATATCTCTTTGGGTTTGAGACTTTAGTCTTTGCAACTTTAGGGATCTTATCTATTCACGAACAGCTTGTAACTCCAAAGAGAAAGGAAAACTTGAAATCGCATCATATGACCCCTTTAAAAAAAATATTGTGGGTTGGTCACGTGACGAGAGTGATGCGAGACACTATGATCCAAAAGCGCAAGTTTTGTTAATAAAAGTTTCATTTCTTCGTTTAATATAAGCGAGTTTGTCTTTATTGTTCCTGTGTTTTTATTATTTTTTTTAAATAAGTAAATAAAACAATGAACCACAAACTACGATCGTTTTAAAGAAAGAGGAAATCCAAAGACCATTTATTTATTTGTGTTAAAATGCGGGTAAAACATATTTTCCTTATTCATATTGTTAATAAAAGTTCAAAGTTTAATATAGCCTAAGTGAATTTGTCATTGTACTGTTTTATTGTATAGCCTTCATTATTATTATTATTATTATTAATTAATGAGCCAAACTAAGCATTCATTTGAAGTAAGGGGAAAATCCAAAAACCTTTTATTTATTTGTTACAATGCGGGTATGTCTTATTCGTTCTATTAATAAAAGTTTTATGTTTAATATAAGCTACTTTGTTATTGTAGTTGTGTGTGGGATTTTTTTTTCCATTAAGAGTAATACTGAATCAACCTTAAGCATTAATTTTGTTCCAAGAATAGGAAAGATCTAACGTTAAAGATCAAAATCAGCGCTGTAGAAGCGAGAATGCGAGATTGGTTTGCTGCTGAGGTAAATAGATGCTATCGAACTTTCTCATATCTTTGCAATGGCTGTAGAAATGGTTGTTAATTCTTGATTTGGATATGGCACAGATGTTACAGGTAATAATATAATCAAAAAGTCATGGCACCAAACGCCTTCTTAAGTCAGTTTAAGTTGAAACGACTTTCACAATCAATTTGATTCAACTAAATTCATGTTTTACTGTTGCTTATTGTCATTGTAGGCTTAGGCTTCTTTTTTCTATTCATTTTAATGAGTATACAAATTAATAAAATTAGTTTTTATTTATTTTTTGTTATTTTTAACACCGCACCCCCAGCCCCCCATTTTTTCTTGGGCTACATGCCAGGGGGTGCTGCAGCACCCTCAGCACCCCTACTTCCCGCGGTAATGCATCTCACTGAGAGAAAATGTGGGAAAACGTCTCTCTCACCTATGCATTAGTTCCTTCTCATCCCCTTCCTTCCCCTCACCCATCCTTCCCTTCATTCAGCTCACTCAGAATGGTCAGTAGTTTAATATAATGTTCTACATGAATGCAGGTGATATTTACAGTCATGTTTGGTATCATTTGTATTGTCTCAGGGCGTCTGGTACAATGGTCTCATTCTTACAAGAAGTAAACTAAAAGGTTATACAGATCCTAAGAGTTTAGAGATATTTAGCTCATTATAGAGGGTGTGCCGTTGTCCAGTGTCTTTCATGCAAATTACTTTCTGTCCCAAAAGGTGTTAACTCTACTTGATCAATGCAAATTTCAATTGTTAGTTCCTCTCTCCATTTTGGGGAATGATTGTCTTGGTCTTAAGGTACTTAAGTGAAAACTGCAAGAAGATCGGGGCGATTCTGTAGCGATGTTTTATCTTGGTTTTGTATTTAAAGGATTGCAGCAAAAGGGTCGGGGCGATTCTGTAGCCAGAAAGCCCATAGTGTGGTGTGTGTGTCTCTACACTCCATACTAAGGTCAGGTATGCATCTTTTACTCGTAGATTTATCTTTATTTATTTGATGTCTTGTATTGATATGATTTGATATCTTTGAATTGGCTATATAATTGGCATAATACATATTTACCTGACTGATAATAAATTGTTACATTTGATTTTATTCTGACCTACTCTGAAATTATTTTCTTAAGTAAATTAAGTGAAGGCGTATGTTACCGCAAATCTGCGTCCAGGGTTAGTACATACTAAATCTCAGGTTAGATGGAGCATGGTGCACATCAGGTGAGATTATAGATTTCTGGCTAACTGCTTGACTTTAGTTAAGTTGTTATGCAGTTGCATTAACTATGGGGGGCTGGACAAAATACTATTGGAGTACTAGCATGGTTCGGGCATATTTCATAGTACTAGCCATAACCTCTGATTATTGCCTAAGATTTATTCAAGTTGTTATATAGTTAGACTAACTATAGGGGGCTAGATAAAACACTATGGAAGTATTAACATATTTCATAGTGCTAGCCATAACCTCTGATTTTGTTTGAGCTTTAACTAAGTTGTTACATAGGTGACTGTAGGGGGCTAAACAGAACCACTATTTAAAGAATGACAAGCATGAGGCGGTCTATTAAATAGTTAGTCATAACCTCTGAGTAATGATCAGACTGGAGAGTTTGTGAACGTGGGGGTACACGTACATCGGCCGGCGTGATACACCCTGAGTGACATAGATTCCTAATGAACGAGTAAATATAAAGTAAGAGTTAACTAGAATAATCAAATGTCAGAAGAATACTAATTAGAAACAGACAACCAACCAATTTGCATTTCAACCTAAATTCAAGGTCATAATAAAATGGAGTCAGATTTGAATTTAACCAAAATTTAATAACTTTTAAATTGTTATTGTTTAACACATCATTGAATTTGCTGTAATGATGCCAAACTGCATCTGAGGCTGTATCTCTGCAAACTTCCTGTGTGCAATTGTCACCTCACATTGACCACACCACATCAATTTGACAACAGTGCCACAGGTCAAAAGTGATAAACCATAATATGTATAATGTAGCCATTAACCAGTAACAATGAAATGTGTAAAAAAAAATAAAATGCTAATAGCTTATAAACAGTTTTGCCTCTTGTCATGTGACTGGTCTTTTAGATTCCTTAGATTATGCTGAGAACCTTGATACCAATTATGCCATAATCAGCTGAAATTACTGTCTGCCATTTTAATTTACATTGAAAACCTACATTTTCGAACTCCTCCTAGACGTTGGTCCAATTTTCACCAAATTCGACCCAAATCATGTTCAGATCATGTCAGCAAAAAGTTATGGATTCCGTGTCGATAGATGAAATGGTTTACGTTTACCACATTAACAAATTTGATGGCATGATGCCAAACTGCATCTGAGGCTGTATCTCTGCAAAGCTTTGACATATTGACACCAAACTGTGTGTGTGTCATTGTCACCTGGCACTGACCACACCACATCAATTCGGTAACAGCACCACCTATTGGTCAGAATTGGTAAAACCATTTAATCATATTAATAATGATTGAATTTATGATTTATCAGCCAGTTTGAGTAAATTCACCTTAAAATGTCTTAAATTACTCATTGTTGCGTTTGGTCTGATCCTCCCAGCCATGCTTGCTCCTCATTCTGCCTCTGTTGTGCTTGGCCCCTTAATTGCTGCTTGCAGCTATATTTTAAATTATCGTTTGTTTTGCATTACATTGACTTTAAGATACACCAAAGCAAAACTGAAGAGTACAAATGACAAATGAGCTTATAGAAAACCTCAGAACAACCCTGCATTACAATTAATTGAAAATAATTTAAGAGTACCCAGTCATGTTTGTTACTAATTATATAACATTTTGCCATATCCAAGGTTATTGTGTTGTCTTTACAAGCATCTCAGAGAGAGAAAAAAACGATGTATAAACAACACTGTTAACAATCTTTCAGGAAACAATGGATAATTTGTGCAAAAAAGAAGCTGAAGAGAGACCCTCAAAAGTCCTGAAGCAGGTAGATCACATATATTAATAATTAATCACAATTTAATGACAACCCCCTTTTTCTTCAGTGGTATTCACTTGAGTGTCTGTTGTCTGAATGTCCTAGTCTGATGTCAGCCACTTAACACATCTGGCTGACCTTCCATTATATTGCTGCAGCAAGACCTCCCAAGTCTACTTCGCCTTTCTTTAATAACACTGAGCAATGATTAAAGTAGAAAAAGCTGAACAACTGTACATATATATTTGTATTTTTTAATCACATATTAATTACAATTCTATTATAATAAGAGATCAAAGATAGAAAGCACCAATTTTCCCCACAAACTACCTTTCTCTCCTTGTTGAAAATTCTCTCATTATTTACACTTTTCTGTCATTTTTTTTCTTTAGTGGAACACAAAAGATGATGACTGAGCTGCTCTTTTCCATAAATTGAAAGTGAACAAGAACTGAGGCTGTCAAACTTAAAAAAATTACAAAAAGGCACAATGAAGTAGTTCATATGACTTGTATACTACTATATTCTATGTCTTCTCAAGTCGTACAATAGATTTAGATAAGGGACTGACTTCCCTTAGCATTTTCCCCTCTTCTCTAGATCTATAGTTTCATTCATGATGGCACACATTGAAACCTGAAGCTTTTGTTTTTTAATTAATTTATATTTTATTATAATTATAAGTAGCTTGACAGCCACAGTTTACCAAACAGAGCAGTCTGGACATTATAGTAACAATCTCTGTTTGCGTTTTATGAAAGATTGAAAGTCATACAAGTTGGTGGCAACAAACGCAACATAAAGGTAAACAATGACAGAATTGTACTTATAAGATTACTGCTGGCATTCCCACAGGAAAGGATGGATGATTCATGTGAGAAAGCAGCCTCATCAAAATATGATCCTCAGCAGGTACATTACTTTACATTGAATTATAAATCATTTAAAGGGGTCATGAATGCATTTTTTATGTTCTCTGATGTGTACTTTAATGTTATAATCAAAAAAACAATTTAGAATAGGCTATTTTCTATCATGTTTTTGACACTCTTTTTGAAACACTCCGTTTTGATTAGGGATGGGCACGAGTACTTGGACTTGACAACGACGATTGATCATGAAAACGATTTTAAAAAATAATTTAAAAAAATTCTGATTGGTTATTGCGCCATTTTGGATGGTATCTGAGGTCTGATTTGTTATCTTTAGACAGCATGCTGTCCAGACCGGTAAAATAAAGTGAAACTGTATTTAAAAGGCCACAGTGATGCCTTGAATCACTTTGGTCATGAAATACAGTTAAGTGCAAGATGTGCTGCGCCAATCTGTCATACACAAAACATTATAATAAGAACAGGATTGTAACAGAATGTTGTAAATTCTCTGTGCTTTAGTTGCCCGTTTTTCAGCGCGTTGTTAAGAGCGCATCCACAATGAGTTAAACATCAAGACTAGCATACAAGTTCACATGCGCATTCGCATCCTTTTGTGATGTAAGTTGTAAAATTGCTTTTATGTTGTCTTGTCTATATCTGATTACTCTCATATATGATGGCGTTTTAGTGCTCTTAATAAAAATTTAAAGTCATATTTTGAGAAAAAAGTCAAAATTACGAGAAAATAGTTGTAGCATTACGAGAATAAAGTCGAAATATTTTGAGAATAAAGTCGAAATTACAAGAATTAAGTCGCAGCAATTATGAGATTAAAGTTTTGAGAATAGGCTATCCACCTTTTTCTTCAACGTGGACGTAAGCCTATGGGCGAGACTTCCGGTTCATTATCCGCTATAGGGAAATAACGAGAAGAGTAACAACGTGCAGTAGACAGTAAAACTGTTTGCACTACAAACCACTGTCTTCATAATTAAGATAATACATTAAAATATGGTAAGACACCAATTTTCAATATCAAGCAGCAAAATGAGCTGTTTTGCACAGCTAAAAATAGCTGGATGTGGATGAGACTAGAAGCCAGACCCATAAAATGTACAAATGGCCGCGCCCACTCCTACTGGAAGAAAAAGGTGGATATATTGCGCATGCAAATGGCCCAGATTGGGAGCAGCAGGAGAAATTCAGGTGGCCTGGCAACTGATTTGTATATATGTGGGATTATTAGCAAAAATCATACCATATGTCATATACTCGCAAGGACAGTGCTTGGAAATAATATTTCACATCTCTGAATGCATTCATTAGTTGTAACATGCCAGCCCCCCAATAATAGCAATAAACTTTGTGCTTTTGGTATTCAAATCTTTTATGCAGAGATGTAATAAATAATGCTTTTGTTTATTATTGTTCTTCTGATTTAACAGAGTGCTGAAGGGCAAAGCCACCCTTTTCATTTCCGTTACAAATCCAAGAAACATGCCGTGGAGTGTGATACATCCAAGACTGTGCTTGATGCTCTTAATACAAACAAGACTTTCAGAAAAATGAAAAAAGACAACATGGATAAAGAAATAGTGATCCAGAGATCCAAAGGAGCAGTTCCTAGAGCGGCTGTGAAGACTGATTTCCCCTGCTGTCTTATTGAAAATGATGAGCTCTTAGATATAACCTTCATCAAAAATAGTGGAAATGTTCCTTCAAAGAAAAAAACCACTGGAAGGCCTTCAGTCTCTAGTGAATCAGAAAACTTAGTAACCTTTAACATCAAAACAAAAGGAGGGAAGAAAGTAAAATGCTTAATGAAAAACAATAAGCTGAGGATGAAGGTTGATGATGTTTGTGTGTACGCATTCAAAGAAGACAAACTGAAGGCTGCTCTGCAGCGTGACGGACGCTTCACCAATGTCCTTTTCCAGAAACGGTGTGCACTTTCTGAGCTTGGAAGCGAAACAATCTATGAAATGTCCCACGCTGTAAAGCATCTGGATGGAAAGCATTTCGAGATCATTGTTATCAGTGACAAAAACCAGCCAGATAGCCAAGATGTATTGAGTGATGTTAGCCCTGAAATGAATGAAGCTGCAGCCGCTGATTTGAAAGAAGATCCTAACCAGCATCCCAACACTGAACAATCCCAAATGAGAAACACAATGAAATCCACAAATACTTCAACCAATTCTCTTAAAATAATTCCAGACCCTGACGAGATTCTCCAAATTCTCCGTAATCAGTACAAAGTTTTAGTGAATGCATTAAAGAAACGTGAAAAACTGAAAGACTCTCAAGTTCAAACATTCTTCAGAGCGGAATATGATAAAAGCGTTCAGAGTTTCTCTGAGGTGAAGAAAGTGAAGCAGCTCATGAGATTCTCTGACTCTGTGTGTCAGATTCGAGTGGAGGGATCCGCCAGAGGAACCGGCTTCTTACTGTTTGACAGATTCATTCTCACCAATGCTCATGTTATTGGAGAATTTGACCCTTTCACCAGGAAGCTTTCAAAGACCCTCACAGCAGTATTTGGCTATGAAGATCTGGAAGCAAAGGAGACCAAGTGTGTGCTGGTTAAGGAGCATGTTGCAAAAACCTATTATGGCGATGTGGAAATTGACAAGCATCTTGACTATGCTCTTCTTGAACTGCAAGACACTGATGAAATCACAGGATGTCCTGAGTTGCTCAGTTATTACAGTCCTGGCCCCCCTCCTAATCGTGGTGGGATCTGCATTGTGGGACATCCAGATGGTGGAATTAAGAGAATGGACCCCTGCTTCATCATTGAGAGAGAGGATCTACAAGTGGATATGTTCATTCATATGATGAGAAAGAGGAGTTTTGAAAATAAATGGCACATTCATGGAAACCAGATCACTTATGACTCTTGTTTCTTTGAAGGATCTTCTGGCTCTCCAGTTTTTGATGAAGACTGCAAACTGATTGGTATCCATACAGGTGGCTACTGGAGCCAAACTGAAGGCAAAAAGAGTCATTTTAAGGAATTTGCCTATTCCCTGCAGGCTATCCTGGATGACATTGAAGCAAAGCTAGGTAAAATCGTAATACCAGTAGCAAATAAAAGCAATGTATCAAAACAATACAATCAGATCAACTATGAGATGGAAGAGACTGAAGAGTCTTGAATGAAGCAGTCCACATGTCTCTGCAGCTTACTGCAAAGAGACCTAAAATTCAGACAGATTTGTCAAATGTTTTTACTTTACTTTTTTTTTTTTGGTCCTTTATCTTTGACATCAATATGTAGATATGATTCAAAAGAAGAAGTTACACATTTGTTTCTCATTTTTGACAAGTCATGTATCATGATTCTTACTTGGGGTTGATTTTGGGTCTGGTGCAAAGAAAATAGAACAGTAAATATTATTCATTTGGCAGAGACCAAAGATACAGTTATAGCCCTGTCTTTATTGTATTTTTGTTACATTGCTATTCATATATATGTGTGTACATACTCATTTAACAAACCATTAACTCATATATTCTATATTCATTTTTATATATGTTTTATACTTGTATTTTATGCTGATTTTACATAGATTTTTTCTTAATGTTGTGCATTTGTTATAAGGGATGATGATAACACACAATGAGACATGTCTCCACTACAATAAATACATTTAAGAATGTAATTCCAGCAGATCACTGTTCTTTATGCTTTCAGATTGTAGATGTAAATGACATTAAATACAACCATTAATATTCTAAATATAGCATTAATGTTTGTTCCACTTAAATTTATTATTCCATTAGCATGTACCTTGTGTGATTCATGTTTTAGTGTGTATTGTTTTGAGTGTTCATCATGTTGAGAAACTTTGAAGATCTTCAGTTTGTTGGGTCTGGAAAATTTTGTGAAAGTCCTGTAAGAGTAATAATGTAATCATAATGAATAAAAAACATTTTTATGTTTAAGTGTAAAACAAAAACCTACATTTGCATTTTACATATTACAATAAAGGCCCCATCAAAAGGCTTAATGAGTGCATTTTTTCTGTCCTGTGTTGACGTATTTTGGGTGGAACATGGAATAAATGTCACAAAAATTGTTTAAAATGTAACATCAATACAATTAATATGTTTTTAATGTAATCAGAAGGAATCCATTTAGTGACTATCTTCTATGTCAAGATCATCCAATCACTAAAATCAAACTTTTTAAATAACTTTTTTTGGCATTGAGCTCTCACCACTGAGCTCTATTGTCGTATGTGTGTGAGATTACATATTTATTTGTTATACTCACAGGAAGCAGGTACTGTGGGGATCCTTCCATCAGGTCCTGCAGAAAGGGATGCTGGGATAGCGTGGAGAAAGGAATCTTTTCCTCACCCTTAAAACCCAACTCCTTAAACACCTTCCACAGCTCCTGAACACACAACACCACATTTAATAATACATTAAAATACATTATACATTAAAACCTAGTAAGATACTTTTCAGTGAACATCTACTGGACAAACAAATATTTCACATAGACCTACATTGAGACAATTACGAGAAACATTGTTGGTTTTTGTAAATAATGGTTAGCTATGTTTATGTATTAAGTATTTTTAAAAAGTTTAAAATTGTATTATATTTTAAATTAAAATGGTTAAAATGAAGTAGGGTGAAGTTGGGCTGATGGGATATATTGGTTTTGAAGCAAAGCTGTTATACTCTACCTCTCGGAGTTCATCTCTGCTACTGTGGTTTGGCTGGAAGCGGTTCAGATGTGAGCAGACATGATCATCTCCATGACTCAGAACTCCGAGCACATCATCAACAGACACGCCAGCTTCTTCAGACTCCACCTCCTCATCAGCGTCACACTCCTCAACTCCAGCGCCCTCCATATACGGCACAGACTACAGCAGGAACACAGCAGTTTGAAACAAAATGAATGAATCATGAAAACACATTTCAAATATTTCACAGTTTAAGTAATATATTATTTTTGTGAATTAAAGTAATAAGAATAAGTCAATTAAGCAAGATAAATGTGCTTAGTTGAATTAAAAATGATGTCATAATGCAAATAATAAAGGTTCTAAAAACACGGTTTTCTTTTGATTTCTGGGTGAAATATGACAAGTTCTCTAAGCTTTTCAGCTCAAAGGTGTCTGTTAACCATGTCATACTGTGTGTACCTGTGTGAGGGGGCCGGTGTGTTTATAGTGCAGTGTGTGTCCGATCACAAGGCTGAGTGCTCTGGTGAAGCCCTGAGCCGGTTCAGGATGGCAGCAGAAATACAGCAGCATGCTCAGATAGTCCAGCATCAGTGGAGATGAGTGTGTGCTCGCAAACAGATTCAGATGTGAGCAGACATGATCATCTCCATGACTCAGAACTCCGAGCACATCATCAACAGACACGCCAGCTTCTTCAGACTCCACCTCCTCATCAGCGTCACACTCCTCAACTCCAGCGCCCTCCATATACGGCACAGACTACAGCAGGAACACAGCAGTTTGAAACAAAATGAATGAATCATGAAAACACATTTCAAATATTTCACAGTTTAAGTAATATATTATTTTTGTGAATTAAAGTAATAAGAATAAGTCAATTAAGCAAGATAAATGTGCTTAGTTGAATTAAAAATGATGTCATAATGCAAATAATAAAGGTTCTAAAAACACGGTTTTCTTTTGATTTCTGGGTGAAATATGACAAGTTCTCTAAGCTTTTCAGCTCAAAGGTGTCTGTTAACCATGTCATACTGTGTGTACCTGTGTGAGGGGGCCGGTGTGTTTATAGTGCAGTGTGTGTCCGATCACAAGGCTGAGTGCTCTGGTGAAGCCCTGAGCCGGTTCAGGATGGCAGCAGAAATACAGCAGCATGCTCAGATAGTCCAGCATCAGTGGAGATGAGTGTGTGCTCGCAAACAGACTGAAGAAAAACTACACACAGAAATCACAAAACAACACATTTATGTTTATATATAGAGTATCCGTTTAGAACATTGTAAGGCTGATGCCATTTGTCTGGACCGGAGGAGGGCCACAGTCTGAAAAGACAAAGAACTCTTACAAGAATCAACAATCTGAACTCTGTCTCAGAAGCCTAACATCCTCATTCAAGACAACATACCCAACTGAGAGAGACAAAAGTTTCACACCTTATAAATGATTCTCCACATCCACTTGTTTTACTCACTCTCCCCCTCTCTCCCCTCATTTCCATCTAAACACAGGACACTACAGAGATCAATGAAACCACTTTTCTTAATCAGAGTTTATAACAATGCAAGTTATGCAACGGTTCATATCTGATGTTGTTTGAAAGGTCTCTGTGTGTCTGGTAAAAGGTCTCATTCTCTTAACAATAGGACAGACAGCCATCAAGATTAGGTAATACAGATCCTAAGAGTTTAGAGATAAGTTGATTACTGTACAGGGTGTGGCATTTCCCAGTGTCTTTCATGCTAATTACCTTCTGTCCCAAAAGGTGTTAATTCAGCTTGATCAGTATAAATTCAAATTGTTAGTTCCTGTCTCCATTTTGGAGAATGTTTGTCTTGGTCTGAGATAGGTACTTAAGGAAATGTTGCAAGAAGCTCAGGTAGATTCTGTGGTCTGAAGCCCGTTGCGTAAAGTGTCCACACACTCTATGTTATGGATGTTTCTAAAGTCAGGTATGCATCTTACTTTTAGATTCATCTTTGAGAATTTGATGTCTTGTATTGATTTGATATCTTTGAATTGGCTATATAATTGGCATAATACATATTTACCTGACTGATAATAAATTGTTACATTTGATTTTATTCTGACTTACTCTGAGATCATTTACTCTAATTAATTGTGTTAAGTCTATAGCACTGCAAATCTGTGCTCAGGTTAGTAACGGACTAAAATGTTTTAAAGCTCCGGCTAACACATTGGCATTAGTTATGTATACTTAGACTGTAGAGGTTATTGGGTTTTTTCCGTTTAGAACAACAGTGAGTTGTTGACCAACATAAATTCGGGTCAGGCTTAACCTCTGATTATTGTAAAATTATTCTAATTAAGTGTACGTGAGAAATCATGGCATGATTATATAAAGTTACATTAGAGGAAGTTAAGTTGGTCAACTTGGTTCTATAGTAATGGTCATGACCTCTGGTTAGATATAGTCTTACTTTAATTAAGTGTGTTCAGATCTATGGGGACTAAATAAAAGTATTCTGGAATGAGCTAAGTATTGCACGAGCCGTCCAGAATATTAGTCAGTCGCCTCTGTCTAATGACCAAGACTGACGAGTTTGTAAATATGAGATCCGTTCACTGGCCGGTACGAGACTCAAGTGTTATGGGAATAAGATTAATGAGATTCAATATGATTAAAGAGCGAAACAGAATAATCAAATGTCAGAATAATAATAATTGGAAATGAACAAACAACCAATTGGCATTTCAACCTAAATTCGAGATCATAATAAAATGGAGTCAGATTAGAGTTTAACTTAAATTAAAGAACTTTGCACACTGAAAAGACCGAACACGCAGGAAACCTTCATCCACCATTGGATACCTCCATTGGGCCAATTGCGTGGACCTTCTTTTGGGAAACATGATAGTTGCAGTCAAAGTTAAGGGAATAGTTCACTCAAAAATGTATATTTGCTAAAAATATACTCACCCTTAGTTAATCGAAGATGTAGATGAGTTTGTTTCTTCACAGAAACAGATTTGGAGAAATTAGCATTACATCTCTTGCTAGCCAATGGATCCTCTGCCGTGAGTGGGTGCTGTCAGAATGAGTTCATGAAGCTTTTCACTACACAAGACATTGATAGACTGGAGTCATATGGATTACTTGTGGATTGTGATGTTTTTATCAGCTGTTTGGACTCTCATTCTGACGGCACCCATTCACCGCAGAGGATCCATTGGTGAACAAGTGATGGAATGATACATTTCTGAAATCTGTTCTGGTGAAGAAACAAACTCATCTACATCTTGGATGCCCTGAAGGTGAGTATGTTTTCAGCAAATTTTTATTTTTGGGTAAGCTATTCCATTAATGCATTTAATCAGTTATGTTTTACTGCAAAGGGGTCAAATTATGATGAATCAAGTTATTCTTGATCTTTTAAAAACTTCACAATACACAATACATCTTTGCAAAGAGGCTGTTACTGAAAAATGGGAGAGGTAGACAAAAGAAAAGGAAAAAACTGATACGACCCCATTCAAAGTAAAAAAAAATCCTTTAACCTGCTGCAGTACCTTCTTAAGATTGGCTAGTCTGTCATAGGGCAGCGGTTCAGTTGGGTCATCGGGGACAGGAAGATCTCTTTCACTGGGAAACCACAACTCAACCTGATTATAGAACAAAACACATGTTAAATTGAATTTATAGGCACATATATATGTAGCAAGATTATACAGATGAGGCTGGCTTTCATTCATTTTAACTATAGAAACAGCATGCAGTTGGAATAAAATTAACTATAGAACTATATTTGAACTTTTAAAATGCTGTAAAAGTGATTGTACTAAACTAAAAAATCTGTTTGTGTTTATAAGGTCTAATGTTCCAATTATGCTCTGTGAGTGCAATAGACCTGTATGTATTGTTCTTGTGTGATGAGTCCAGCTCCTGCAGTGTCGACAGCTCTGTAGCGCTGGAGGGTTTTTAACAGCTGAGTCTGAGAGGGAAATGGCCACGGCAGAGCCGCACTGAGCAGGAACTGACGCCAGTCCAGCATCTCAGAGTCCGGAGCTAATATACACACCAGCTCATCAACCTACACACACAATAGCACATGTTATCATGCGAGTACAAACAGGCTTGCCTGTAAAGGCGCAGTCACATTAGTGCATTTTCAGCAAAATCCAGTGGGCAAAAAGGTCCATTGTCAATCATGTAGCAGTGAATGACGCTCACACAGAAGTCACTTTCATACCAAGCAGTTTTCTGTTAGTCAACGCAGGGAATTTGAGTGATAAACTTAAAAATGTTGTGAAATCTTGCACCTTTTTTATATATCCAAACCAAAGCAATGAAGACACTTTTAAAATTAATATAATGGTTGATTGGAAAGGAAATTGTATGAATGATTGATACCAAAGACACACAACAAACCATGGAGGTGTTTATTATTTAGTTTGGAGTGAAGATGTACCTGTGAGGGAGTGATATGCATCCAGGGGTCAGGCAGGACATCACTACCCATGTGAGGAGAGGTTAACTCATGCAGAACTTCAGTCAACTCGTTACTGCACATCAGACCTGAACACATCACACAATACACAAACAACAAAATATAGTTACTGGATTCTACTGAAATATGTTGCATTCAGTTCACTTCTGCTTGGTTCTGTTTTACTCTAATTCTGTTCAATCAGTTTTGCAAACAAGACTTATTTACCAAAAATTACAGTTTTTACAACATGAGAGTAAATAAATAATGACTGATTTTTTCTTTTCAATTTTAAAAGACAATCAATCTCTGGCACGTTAGTTTTTTTTTTTTTGAGTAATGCTGATTCTGACCGGTAGGTGCAGTCTTGTGCAGCTGAGCACAGAGGATGTGCAGCTGTTGGACAGTCAGAGTGCTGTTTTTGGGCTGCTCCAGCAGGGATCGGCGGGGAGCGGGTGATGGACTCGCCACGACAAGAGTGTCTCCATCCACACAGAAATCAGCGCTCTGCAGCACAAGCTCATGATGGATCTGAACTCCATTCTCAATGTGCTGCCGCACCAACTCTGTCAGCTGGTCGATACTGATAAACATACACAAACATATTATGCACATATAAATTTATGAACATGTGTACAGCATGATGAGAAGCACATATGCTATTTTTGGAGAAATGTTTTGAAACTTGTTAAGAATATGTCCCAGTCATATAGTCATGCAGAGATAAATTATTTTGCAAAACATATATTTTTCTGGTTTTATATATAATTTCTTCTGTTGTGTATGTGTATACACACACACACACATATATATATATACACCTAACTTTTAATAAACAGAAGAAATTATTTAAAAGTTGATAGAAAAAAATCAAATATAAAAAAAAAAATCTTAAATATATATTTGAAGTATATTCCAAATACAAAAAATAAGTTGACAAAGAATTTAATTTGAAAAGTCAACTTATTTTGCACATGATTTGGAGAGAAATTCTAAGATTCACCTTTTAGAAGTACATTATTTAAATCTCTGCAGAACAATTACAACCAAGAAAGCCAATACAGTGTTCTTATCCTCTCCTGATCTGCCGTCTCCTATACATCCATCCATCTTCCTCTCACCTGTTCATCTCAGACAGGAAGCGACTTCCCAGCCACTCCTCCATGTTCCCGTAGGCCTGCTCTGCTTTCTGCTGCAAACTGCTCACCGTTCTCAGCACATGAGCCTTTATCAGCTCCAGACGCAGCTTCACTGCATGTTCTGCACACAAACATACATTTTTCTTACTGTTTATACATCACATGCACATACAACATCCTGAAGCTGAGGCTAGCATCTGGCATACCTTCACGTTTCAGTGCAGCTGTGAACTCCTGTTTGATTCTCTTCCTCTCTGCTTTCCTCCTGACCTCCTCAGGGTTCTTCTCCACCACGGGCTGTGGACTGGGCTCCTGTGGAGGGGTTGGAGCACCTAAAACAACACACACTCATTAGTGTCAACACATAACACAGCTGAAACTCATATTATAAATGACGGAGCGGTGGCTTTTCTTCACCTTTCTTTTTCCCAGCTTTCCTATTGTCTGTAGCAGAGTTTGAAGTCTGCACTCTCTGTGCCTCCATCTGCTTCTGTTCTTCATCACCCTCCTCTTCTTCTCGCTGCTGTGTCTCTGCCAACACCTGACACACAGTTGTGTGCAAACACACATGAAGACAGATGCACAGTCACAGGTGAGTATATTGAAATTTTACAAACACAGCTCATCCGATCAGAATTTTGAGTAGGCACTATCCTTTTATTTTTTGAAAAATCACATTTAGAAATGTCTAAATGTGCATGTATACTGTATATAAAAGAATCAACATTATTGTGAAACATACACCACCGTTCAAAATCTGGAATACAAAACAAAGGGCAAAACAGGGCCCCATATTTTTAAGCTTACCAGCAAAACCATTATGAGACACACTGATATAAACACACACCATGCTCCTGACGGCACTGAGTGCTGTCTGGAAGAACTCCTGCAGAAGTTTCTCATCAGGATGGTGTAGAAACTGTCTGAGCAGCTCAGAAGTGGGAGATCTGCAGGAAACCAATGGAAACCTGACAGCACAAACACATCCAGTTATTCAGCAAACATGCTTAGCCTCTATCATTTTTATACACACCCAAAGACAAAAAGGGAAAACACACATACAATTTAGTTTTCTTCTTGTCCTCCATTTCAGAGTCTTTTTCCTCAGCACTCTTTGCGAGTTTCTCTGGCGGCGCAGGAGCAGGGCTAAAATATGAATTTATTATATTTTACCACATTAAAGAGTCTATCTAAACAACTTTACAGTAAAAAAACAAACAATGTCTGTGTTCAGAACTGAATGCTAATGCACTGTTAACTGCACAGTATAAACTGCATATTGCTTACTATTTATGTAAACTAGCATGTAAAACAGTAGACGTTATTGCTAAGATTGCATAATGTTTAAAAGGCAATATTCATATTATTTATTATTATTTAACTGCACTGACACTATCAGACAAGAACAAGATTTGACTGAATTGGTGAAAATTTGCATGCATACTGCAAAAATAGTACATGCTATTCTAAACACAGTCATACAAGTCGTATATTATGACTTATGAGACAGACATTAATAATTACAGTAGCTCGGCAAAAGATCTATAGGCCTGTAATGGCTGTGGCATGATGATAAAACATGATAGAGTATGTAAGGTTTCTTCTTACATTTTTGGTTCCTCTAGCTCGACATGGTCATCTGCAGTGATGTCGATCAATGGGACACGAGTGAAACCACGTGTAGATTCAGGAAACACAGTTTTACACATCGCTGTGTAATAATCTCTCAAAAGACACGATGAGTCTTGGAAGCGGCCCACTTCTATCTGCACACACACACATGAACAGAACCATGAAATCTGAAACTCATCTAAGACGGTTCTGTGATGTTTTAGAGAGAAAGTGTGTGTGTGTGTGTGTTACCTGCATTAATGCAGAATAATGGTTGATCAGAACAGCAGTGTGATCGTCCAACCAGCTATCATCAATGACACCTGCTCTCTCCTGCTCCGCCTCTTCCTTGCGCTTATCACAGATGTCCCAAAGACGCTCACGCAAGTCCTGCATAAAAACACAACACACGCTGATCACAATATGAAAATAAGCATAAATGTATGAGCAATTTTTTTGTGAAAACTGTTCATTTGCAGCTAATTTGTGATAAACCTGCAGCAAACAAATATTAACGGAAAACTTTTGCACCAAAACTTTGGCAACTGTGAATATTATATTTACTGCTTTGTTTGTGTGTTTGTTTGTTTTTAACAATAAATCCAATGTAACACAAATCAAATCTTAATACAAAACAAATATACAAAAGAAAAAACATTACACAACATAACGCATTAAATGAAACTAAAAATAACATAAAATGAAACTAAAAAATAAAAAACAAATAAATAAACAAATTAAACATTTCCCTTGCTTTATTGCAAATAAATATTCTGCAGATATATTTTAAGGCTTTCTCCCAATCTTCACTGAAGTTAATAAACATTTGAGAATATTTTACAAAATGTTTTTTTTTTAAATATATTTTCATGCTGAAATATAGCATGTATTGCCTGTAAAAATATGTAACTTCTGTGTTTTTTTAAAAGGTTACACTGCAAAAATAAAAGAAAGAAAAGAGAAAAAAAAAACGTATTTAAAAAACTTTAATATATTTTTATTATGTTTTTCAGTACAAATACATATCATAAACATTCTTAAAATAAAGATACATTTACCTGAGGGTCTTCTGAAAATGTTATTAAAATTAAATGAGTTTATAATTAATACACAAAAACATATCTACCAGTGGTGTAACAAAAATTAATTTAATTTCAAAAGGAAAACAACTTTACTTTTCTTTTGGCATTTTTCACTTTATTATGATAGGACAGATCAGTGTTGACAAGAAGCGAAGTGGGAGAGAAAGAGGGGGCGGGATCAGGAAAGGTCTTCGTGTGGGATTCGAACTCGGGACGCCCGTAGCACAACAGCGCCGTATGTCAGCGCATTGCCCACAAGGCTATCGGCGCCAACTACTTTTCTTACCCCATTAGTAGAATGGTTTAGCACAGTCATTTAGTTTTAATACAAGACTTTATATCTTGTCATTTTCCTTCTCAAGTAAATGTATCTTGATTTTAGAATGTTTAGACATTTGTACTGGAAAACAAGACAAAAATACTGAAGAAGAAAATCTCTTTTTTTCCCCAGTGTAGGAGATTGTCTCACATCCAGTCTTTGATGGAGTTCTCCTTTGGTCTCCTCGTCCTCTCTGATGTTGTCAGGAACGCTGTTATAATCACGCTGCCACGCGCTTACAAACTCCTGCTTCAGATCCGGCTTCTGTAGGTACTGCCTGAAGTTCTCCCTGAAACATACAAACACACACATATTATACAATTACACACACATACACAGGCCTCACGTCACACACACGAGCACTGTTCTCTCACCGGATGTTGTAGAGGTGGTGAATGATGAGCTCGCGTTCACTGCGGAGGTTCTGCATCACTGTCTTGACGTTAGTCACGTATGAATTACAGACGTCCTCCCAGTACGGCACAAGATACACTGGGATCTCCTGCAAAAGTGACCAACATAACAGAAAAACAAAACTGACGTGACATAAATGGGTCATATCATACATTTTTATCATATAAAAAAGTTTTTTGTGCCAACAAACCATTTTGAGCCCTTTATAATCCCTATATTAACGTTCTATATTCAATTTCTACTTTAAATAAATGCTGTTGTTTTGAACTCCCTAATTATCCAAGAATCGTGACAAAACTGATTGAACAGTGATGATAAAAAATGTTTCTTGAGCAGCAAATCAGCATATTAGAATGATTTCTGAAGGATCATGTGACACTGAAGACTGGAGTAATGATGCTGAAAATTCAACTTTGATCACAGAAATAAATTACATTTTAAGGTATATTCAAATAGAAAACAATTTTTCTGAATTGTAACAATATTACTGTTTTTACTGCATTTTTGATCAAATAAATGCAGTCTTGGTGAGTAAAAGACATTTTTCAAAAGCATTAAAAAGATTTAACCAAGCCAAAACATTTGAAGAGGTTGCGTACATCTGTTAGATATCAGAAAATCTGTGTAATTTATTTTAATCTTAATTACAACAAATTCTCTAAATGGGGAGGAAGTTTTGAGTTCTGAAAGTTACAATGCTGGTTTTAGTGCTGTGAATTAGCCTTTACAGTTTTCATAGCACATCAATCTCTTTCAAGATATTGTTTTATTCATATCACCCCTTTAATGGAGTCATTGACATAAATCTGATCTCATCTGACCCGCAAGCGAAGTTAGCAGACTGCATGGAAATACCAAGTGCTGTAAGCACGTTTATTCTCATACCAGCCGGATCACAACTCAATCTGAGTAACATTAAACAAGCTAGATGAGTGTAATGGCTCTCCATCTGATATTCCAAATCAAACAAACCTTTTGAATGTAATTTTTTCATGTTTAATCAGAATCTGCCAGTCTTCTGAGAGACTGTGTGTTATGTGTGTGTATGTGCCTTGGGTAAAGGTTCCTCCACGTAACGCCGTCCAGCAGATTTCGGGGTAGCTGCTTTAGACTTAGCAGAGCAGGCACTTTCTGGACGGGTGTGTTCAGCTGAGGAGGACGTAGACATTTTACTGGAGTGACCCAGAGCTGCTCCTATGGGGAGGACAGAAAGCATATTTCACTAGACATGAAATTACAAAAGGAAATATAAATGCTTGAAAGGCAGCAAATGAATAATGGGAGATTTTCAAACTTTCAAGTCTACAAAACATTTGAATGAGTCTGTAGCAAGCTAAATTACTTGTAGAAAATTGTGGAGAAGAAATACATATCAGCAACTGCACCAAATTGCATATTTTTGCTCAGTTTGAATATAAATGATGCGTTTTACTCAACAAAACCACGTATGCAAGCTTATCTTAATTTTTTGTTTAAATGTTCAATAAACTTTCATTTAAAAAAGAAAAGATATTTTCATATGTCAGGCTTTACAGGGTTAAGTAATAGGGATAAGTGAATCTACCTTTTTCAACTGAGTCCATGGTGTCCATCAGAACTATCTTCACGTTACTGAAGAGAGTGTCCTCGTCTACATCTGCCGTGACTTTCACAAGAATATTCTGCTGGTCACCAAACCATTTCTCCAGTTTTGGCCATGTGTCATGAAAACCACTAATTCTGTTAAAAAATGATAACAAACCCAACTCATTTTGTGCTTCACAAAAAATGTCTAAGAAAATCTGAACGCCACAACATATTTCTTCTCAATTATGTGACATTTTTGGGTGGAAAGCATTTAATACAAAGAAAAAAAGTAGGCTTTTATTCATTGGGACTTGACTGGATCATGTAATGTTACACTATTTTCCAGCACAAAATGACACTCAAAAAAAAACAAAAAAAAAACAAGTAATTTCCTTCCTGTGGAATAACATGCACAGATGAATCATGGAAGATCACTCAAGAAACATCCACTCCAGAAACACCCATAGTAGTAAATACAGTCAAGTGTGTTGTTCTGTTCAGTGTGACGATAATGTTGGACATAAGTACATACAGTCCATTTTGATTTTACGTGGTTTTTAAAGGGCTCAGTATTTGTTTTATTTTTAAGGGAAAATAACAATGTTTTGCTTTTTAAATATTAAAAAAGACAGTCTTTAAATGGTTTAGTTTATTAAAAATAATAAATATCTGTAGAACGTCTCATATGAGATTAATACTTCTTGTACTCCAAAAGCAGGTTTTTGATGGTACTTTGATTATCTTTTTCCATTAGCATTGTACTTTTCTGCTTGTTTTACTGTATTCATATGGTAGCAGAGTAGGGATTTTTAATTAATTTCTATGGGGGTCAAACTACACGCTCTCACAGGGAATTGTGGGTTTGACAGTGGATTGGAGAAAGCATTGAGAGCAGTCGAGAGCGTCCAAGAGTTGAGAAATTCTCAACAGGCAAAAATGTTGGGCGGTAGTCTATCACTGTGAAGTTGTGCATAAATAACATTGTATATGTATTGCTAATTTCATTTCGATTTCAAATGCAGTTTGGATGCATTCATTGTGTCTGGACTGGCTGTGTTAACAAAAGTGCATTAGCATTTGTGTATTTGGGGATTACAAAATCAAGCTTGCATCTTTCCAACTGTAATTGTGTATATACTGTATATATTGGACATGAAGAAAACAATCATAGGTTCTGCACATTTACTACAAACACACTGTATGTTTTCACACACCTGTGCTGTATCTGTTTCCTCCCCAGGCTTTTTTCATCAGACAAGGATGCTGGATCTTGTGTGTCCACATCTGTCATACTCGTCTTTTCATCTGGAGCATCACTGCCATCTCTCTCCTGCTCTATGCTCTCCCCGTCTACTAATAGGTGAAGATCACACAGCTTAATTATTATTTCATACTAAAAACAACAAAGCCTGTCATGCTGGTAAGAGCAACTAATGATAAAGTACTGCGAGATTAACACCTAGCAGTACAATGGTAACTCACCAGCCTGATGAGCGGCTCGCTCCAGAACCTGCTCATCTGAGATGTCTAACAGCACCACTAGGTCCAGTGCAGGGGATGGAGGAGGTGGATCTTTAGGAGTATTTTTGTCTGTGGCTGAGTTGCTATGTGTTTTTGTCTCAGCCTGATCAGGGTCAGTCCCTTTCAGAGCTTTCTCCAGCATCTGAGCCTGATTGATGTCCACGGGGAACCCGTCAAGAATCCAGCCACTGCCAGCAGGGATGTTCCTGAAGAGCATGACGGAAGGGAATCAGACTGATTTTTAGTGCACAAAATAAATCATAGTTTTTCATGTGCACCAGCTTTAATGTAGTTAACTAAAACCATAAAATAAACATTAACTGAAATAAAATAAAACATAAAAAATTTAATATTTTATTTCACCTAGTTTCCAAGGCAAGATTTCCCATTTAACTGTAGTCTAACTTGAAATACTAAAAGAACTATAACTAAATCGAATAAATTAAAATGACTAAAAACTATAGAGACATATAAAATAAAACTAGTAAAACATACAACAAAATTACAAATGCTTTAAATGAATAAAATAATATCTAATTCAGAAACTACAAAAACTACAATAGTATATCAATGATACTAAAATAACACTGATGTGCACTCAAGGAAGAACATTTTATTTAAATTTTTGTATAAAAAGTAAATGAGTAATTTTTATCTGCTTAAAATAAAACAATAAAACAAGTAAGGTGTGGAGACAAAGCTCTTTACCTGATAGTATCCACTATGATGTCAACCAGGAGTTGATCAGGAACAGCTTTGCCTGTCCTAAGAGCCTGCTCTACTGCTGCACCACGCTGTGCTCGCAACGACCACTGCAGAACAGATCACAGTACATCATGGACCATATCAAAGAGCTCACTGCTGCTAAATACAGAGAGCAAAACTGAGTTCACATGAAGAGTGGCTTTGCGATTGCCTTTACTTTTTCTTTGTCCTCTTTTTCGAGAAGTCCAGATGTCTTATGCAGCTGAGGTCCTGATGTAAGACACACAGAAGAGTCGATAACTATTAGAACTTGAGTGAGCATTTTCATAGTAAATAATATCAGTCTTTATTGGGTTTTTGGTTAAAGGCCATTTATAGAAAACCATATGGGGAAAAAAAAAATTAATGAAAGAATGCACTAATATGCAATTAAATTAATAGAAATTGACATAATAAATTCAGAAATAAATGTAAGAATAAGTGTAATCAATTAGCACAGAAATCAATAAAAGCAAAAAAAATATTTAAATACCCCACTCTTTTAGTCTTTTAGTTTGCTAAATGATTTAATGTTTCTGGAAATACTTGGTCCTCTATGGGGTGTATAACGTCAAATTAATAAATATATGAATCTAAACATTTGTAGAAATAAACAAATACACTACCTTTCAAATGTTTGCAATTTGTAAGACTTTGTAATGTTTTTTAAAAGTCTCTTTTGCTCACTGGGGTTGCATTTATTTGATCAGAATTGCAGTAAAAACAGTAATATTATGAAACATTATTGCAATTTAAAATAACTGTTTTCTATTTGAATATATTTTAAAATGCAATTTATTCCTGTGATTAAAGCTGAAATTTCAGCATAATTACTCCAGTCTTCAGTGTCACATGATCCTTCAGAAATCATTCTAATATGCTGATTTGCTGCTCAAGAAACATTTCTGATTATCATCAATGTATACAAAATAAACAGTTGTGCTAGTTATTATTATTATTTTTTTTTTTGGAAACTATTTTTTTTTCAGGATTCTTTCATGAAAATTCAAAAGAACAGCATTTATTGGAAATAGAAATCTTCTGTAACAGTATAAGTCCTTATTGTCATTTTTGATCAATTGAATGCATCCTTGCCGGAAAAAAAATACTTTTGAATGGTATTGTAAATAAATATTCCCACAAACCTGATTCTAGAGGAGAGGATTTCTCCTCCTCTTCTTCACTCTGAGGCTGCTCTGTTGGAGAACCATTCCTCTCCAATTTCTTCTGAGCATGGCAAATACAAGGTCAGCTCCAGCAGGAAAATTAAACAGTATAAATAATGAAGTAAATTACGGTAAGTGGTTGCACAGAAAACAGTACAGTCACACACAACACAAACTAATCCAAAAATATTGTCAGACCTGCTGGATGCTACTACAAAAACTTGAGTCTTTACTTCAGATTAAATATTCCTGACCTGTGACTCTTTTTGGCTTTCACTCGCAGCCTGTTTTTCCTGCTGATAGGCTGATAGAGCATCCTGGATCAAAGAGTTGGCTGAGAGCACATGGATTCCAAGAGCTGATTCCCAGAGAGGAACAAACAGCAAGTGAGGAAAGTTAGATAATATTCTGACGTGATGAAGCATATTCATTCAATATGATGAAGCATCAACTCCTACCGTTGCTGATCTTGGCGAGGCAGGTGGTTTTGCCCGAGTAGGATTTTCCAAGCAAGCACGCTCTGATGGTGAAACGAGGAAACAGAGGAGGAGGAGTGCTGACGCTGGGTGGGACTATCATGCTCTGTAGACGGCTCAACACATGATCCAGAATATCATTTACTGGAGGGGCTTGACTCTCGTCCTCTTCATGCCAAACCCACTCGCCCTTCATAGCCTGAGGCGAACAGACAGAAAGACACATGTGCATTATACTTGCACAGACATGTAAACGAATCCATCCCTCAACTGTTTCATAGGCAAGGTTCAAGTGGTTTTCACTTATGAATTATGATATACCAAAAAGTTCTAATGTATTAGAGCAGGGTTTCCCAAATAGGGCTTTGCGAGGAAACTGGGTTTATGAGTTCATGAAAAGCTAATAATTAATGATATATAAATTAGAAATAAAAATAACTCTATACAGCATGAATGGTCATAAAAAGATGAGCTTCAATGTGAAATGTGTTAATTTGACTCAAGATTCAGAGGCAAAGGCAGCATCACAAATACTTTGCATCAGTCATGTTAAAGCTACAGTAACTCAGTATGTCCTTACCACATACTGGTTGTAGTCTTGATTGTTGAGTATTTGGAGCTTCTCCAGCTCAATGATCTGCTCTGGTGTGGGGTCAGCAGGGGTGGGATCCACACTGGCCACTTCATACAGCGGCTTACCACTGAAAAACAGCTCCATCCACTCCTGCATCAGCTTCGCTGGTATCAGACTGAAGAAAATACGGTCATTTTTATTATTTTTTTACCTACCATATCTCCAAATCACACAAATACTTTGCATCAGTCATGTTAAAGCTACAGTAACTCAGTATGTCCTTACCACATACTGGTTGTAGTCTTGATTGTTGAGTATTTGGAGCTTCTCCAGCTCAATGATCTGCTCTGGTGTGGGGTCAGCAGGGGTGGGATCCACACTGGCCACTTCATACAGCGGCTTACCACTGAAAAACAGCTCCATCCACTCCTGCATCAGCTTCGCTGGTATCAGACTGAAGAAAATACGGTCATTTTTATTATTTTTTTTACCTACCATATCTCCAAATCATACTGGAATGATTTCTGAAGGATCATGTGACACTGAAGACTGAAGTAATGTAAAAATAAAGGAAAAAATTACATTTTAAAATATACTCAAATAGAAAAGTTATTTGAATTTGTAATATTATTTCAAAACTTTGCTGCTTTTACTGTACTGTACTATTTTTTAAATAAACTTTTACTGACTCAACATTTGAACAGTCGTGTCCATATAAAACAAATGCAGCAAAATATAATTTTTAGTTTCATTATAATGCACTATAAAGGTAGTTTACATAACACATTTAACTTTTTATTTCAAAATCCACTCTGTCTTTTATTTGGTGTTTAATAGAATGATCAGGGAAATAAATACTTGGCTGTGAGGAGCCGATATTCTCCAGCTTTGGTTGCCAGATCGACAATCTGTTCCAGAATTCCTCTGCAGCTGTCAAAGTGTTTGCGATAGCGAGCTTGAGCACGCTCGGCAACTAGCTGTTTGTGTAGCTCACGCTCCATCCTGATCTCTTCACTGCGCTCGAGACGTTCCTGTTGGGCAAGAACCTGAACAATGCCAATGATGGGACATAATCAGGACCACTCAAAAACTTTTTCTGATACTCTATGTGTTGTTTGTTTGTGTGTGTATGATCTCTCACAGCTTCTCTGTCCAAGACCTCTTGGAAGTCTCGAAGGCGTCTTTCCTGGTACTGTCTCTCTTGGAAGATCCGGTTCTGTTGCAGTACCTCTTTCTGCTGTTTTATTTGCATCAGCTGCACAGTGATCCTCTTCTCCTGCTGCGTCTGACGCATCAACCGACTGACCATCTGTTCCTCTCGTAATACCTCCTGCAGAAAGAATATCAACGCAAAAATTTGATCAGATTTGATCAAGACAAACACTACCAGTCAAAAGTTTGACACTGTTTTTCACATTCATACATTAAGTATTACTGAAGAGTCTAAACAGAAAGTTTGCATATGTGTTTTTTTGTTATCATATTTGATACATCAGGCTTTTATGGCTCATACAGTATGAAATAATAATGAGAATACAGAGGTTATACTTGAGGAAGAAAAACACCTCAATTTTATTTAGAGTCCCAAACTAAGCAAAAATTTTCAATTTGATGCAGATGCTGATATTTATATGGCAAAAAAGTAAGATGAAATTCTGATGACCTGTAATGCAAATCAATGAGATCTTTATAAAAGTATAGCAGACTGCTTACATCAAATGCATATAAATATCAGTTGTCACTTCTTTATCTGCCAATAATGTCTTCTTGATTAAGTATTTAAATCCTTTAGATTATAATGCTTAGTTTTATGATTAAAGCTCTGTGGTTTCAAAACCCATTATGCAATGCAATACAATGATGATGAACAAAAACGTTCCATAAAAGCCTGATGATCATATTTGACACTCAAATTTTAACATGATTTTTCAAAAGAAAAAAAGGATAATCAAGTAAGTTGCTTTAGTGCAGCAAGTGTTCATCTTGAAATATTACTAACAATATAAAAGAGATTCTTAGGTTTACTTTATAAAAATCTGCAAGTTTTTCAAAAAGACGTATACCATGACCTGAAGTGGGGTAATTATAGTAAAAGGCCTTCTACTTGCTAAAAAGTATTAACTAACAGTCAGACGACAGATGCATGTAGTAGGTTGCGTACAACAGGTTTTTCAGCAAACCTTTGATCATATTTATAAATTAGAGGCCTTAGCTTGTGTATCAAATATGATATTTATAGGGTTCAAAGAAATAAGCCAAGCCTGTGGTCACCTGCTGAGCTTCATGGGCTTGTAGTTGTTCCATCAGCGCACGGCGTCTCCGCATCGCTCTTTGTTCCCGGGCAGCAGAGTCTTCCTCCAGACGCTGACGGATGTTCTCGATGTACTCCTTGTTCCACTGTTCTTTGTCTCCTGTAGTCATTGGCTGGGTCACACGACCACTGTAAATCCAGGTACAGTTCGTCATATACCAAGGCCTCAAATAGTCAAGAATGTTTTTGCCAGTTTTGTGTGAAATAAGACCTAAGACAGTCAGTGAAAGAACTGTGAGCAGTATGTCGGCCTGCTTTTGTGCATTTATTGTTTGTACTCCTAGATTTTCAGTGTTATGCAAACACACCTGTAAAGAAAGGCTCCACCTCCAGCAGGAGAAATCCTCTTCTGGTTCTTCTCAAACTGAGCTATCTCATGATGAACATACTGGAAATCACACTGCATCTTAAAGAGTGCTCACTAAACGCAATCAAATCCTGTCAAAACAACTTTTGACAATTCATATTGTTTTACTGTATATTGTTTTTAATTCCAATCCATCCATGTCATTTTTCATTCCATAATCAAAAAGAAACAAGAAATGACCTTATGGTAATTTTTATTACTGTAATGCAAAAGAAATAACCTATTTTAATGTATTTATACAACACAGTAACAGTGTTTTTTTTAGTGTTAATTCTAATACTATTATAATATTTATTAATGTTCAGAATTGCGTTTATTTTTATATTTGCATTTTAATTTTAACATTTATATTTAGCTTTAATAATTTTTTCATTTTATATACTTTTGTAATATTTATTAATATTTAGAATTTGCTTTTATTTTTTATGATTTTAGTTTAATTTTTAAGTTTTAGTAAAATTGTAGTTTTATCTGCTTTTGTCAGTATAATTATTTTTTTTAATAATATTTCTATTTGTGACCCTGGAGCACAAAACCATTCTTAAGTCGCTGGGGTATATTTGTAGCAATAGCCAAAAATACATTGTATGGGTCAAAATTATTGATTTTTCTTTTATGCCAAAAATCATTAGGATATTAAGTAAAGATCATGTTCCATGAATATATTTTGTAAATTTCCTACTGTAAATATATTAAAACTAAATTTTTGATTAGTAATATGCATTGCTAAGAACTTCATTTGGACAACTTTAAAGGCGATTTTCTCAATATTGTCCTATCCTAACAATAGGCTTTCAGATGATGTATAAATCTCAATTTCGAAAAATTGACTGGTTTTGTGGTCCAGTGTCACATTTATCTTTAATTTTTTAGTTTTAGTTTAAGTAATTCTTCAACTTAAAAATTAGAAATGTAGTCTTGGCAAATAATTGAAATAAGTTTCAGTTTTTTAAATCTAATATTTATATTTTATTTCTGATTTATTTCAATTACCGAAAAAAATTTTTTTTAATAGTAATAGTTTTAGTTAACAATAAAAACACTGCTGTACTGTACTATGCAGCATAGGGCACTTAATTATCATGAAAATAATGTCAAAAGTGTAAAAGTGTTGTTCACCTCAGCCTCTTGCTTTTTGCGAAACTGAAGCTGTTTCTCAGAAGCTCTTGACGTGCGAGCGTGTGGAGGTTTTGGGATCTGCACAATAGCCGACTGAATCTGAATCATGATCTCATGCTGTTTTCTGCGTGCCTGCCGGTGCTGACAAACAACAAATCAAACTATCAATCTCAGCCAACACTATCACATGCTGATTCACCAGTCAATGCACAGTAAAGCACAGAGGGCGTAAGAGAAGTAATGTTTTAATACCCCCAAAAACGGTTTGATGCTACTGAATAAATAAGGTTCAAGGTAGTTATTGATAGCTATGAAAATGTTATCCACGGTCAGCTGTAGAAAGTTACACCTTCTCAATGTCCCTCAGCCTCCTCTCGTCCTGCCGTTTGAGCCGGTCCTCCTCCTTCAGGAGGTCAGCCATGACCGAGCGGTTGTACATGTCCTGCCCTCTTTTATGGAAGTGTTTTGCGATCTTCTGCATCTTCAGATCTGTCTCACGCTTTACCACCGTCTTCAAGCGCTGTGAGACAAACAGCCTGAAATGAGACTCCTTTCTGAGGTCCCAACATGCAATGTTCGTAAAGCTAATCAAAACATGAACTAACCAATATACCAATTACAACAACGTGGCAAAAGCAGCTTACCATATTTGAACTATGTCAATATAAAAATGTCAAAATATTATTAAGAGGTTAGCTATTGTGTAATACACTACAATAACCACCAGGGCACTATACCAGCCCAGAGGGAGATTTATTTGACCTTGTACGACTGTATCACCTCAGTATAGATGCTGTTCTCTATGCGGTGCAGTCGGGCCGTGGCTGCAGGCTGCATGACCTCCATGGCTGTGGCAGTGAGGCCTGATCTCTTCTTCTTCTGCAGCTGTATATAGAGCTGGTAGAGCAGATGTGTGGCCGCCCCCTGCCTGCCCTGCATCACCGCTTTGGCCATGGCCAGGTCAAAGGGCACGCCCAGCAGTTGCAGAGTGGGCTCAATGCGGGTGAAGTTATTCAGCTTTGCAGTCGCCATGCTGTGGAATAATAATTTAATCAATTACAATGTTTTTGTCTGACTATAACATTAAAATAAAATGCCCTTCATGGGATTAATAAAGTGTCTGTCTGGATGAATCTCACAATAACATGCCACACTTCACCACAACAACAAAATATATATATATTTTAAAAATCTATCTATCTATCTATCTTTACCTTTGTTTGGAGAACAGGTGAAAGTCGTCCTGCAGCTCATATCTGTGCAGGATCTCTCCTATCAGATAACCGTTTGCAAAATCCCTGGTGAACGAATAGGGCTCTAAAATAAAACATATAACATTCACAAGACGAATAAAACGGCCGCAATTATTACCTGTAGTTTAGCTGATGAATCAGGTATAAATATACACATTTTTGAATGGATAACGCGCTTTAATCCGTTTGCTAAAAGCTATTACTTAACAAAACAAACACTTACCAATGACTTTTGACAGCCGAAGCTCTATATTCAGCCACTGGCAGATTATGTATGACATTCTGAAGGTCTAATTTTTAAGTAAAATCAATAATGTCCATGTAAATGTAAGGATAATCTAGGCACCTGTCTAGTTCATATTGTTTTGGGTAGTGTCTCGTTTTGGCGTGGTGTTGTCACAGCAACCGAACTACCAGGCGCTGCGCTGAGCGCTAAGGTCCAACCAATATTTCCTGAATGGAATGCACGGCCGACTGGATGTACCTTGCGAACTAGATTTCCCACGTCTTTGCTAAAGACATTCGTTGTCGATATGTTCTGTTTGTCGTTATTTGATAAAACACGGTAAAATAAAATAAAAATATAAACGTGTGCATGTTTCCCCATTTGATTTTTATATATAAATTTTAAAGCTATATACAAATTTTAAATAAGTTTTAATAAATAAATATCTTAAATATATACTTACATTTTGACATAAATACATATTATATAAACTCGCAATTCTGAGAAAAGGTCAGAATCAGAAAGGTGGGAATCCTAATTCTGAGTTTATTCTGTCTTTTTTTTCTTTAGAATTCTGAATTTCGTGTTCAAAACTCGGGAGTTTCGAGAAAAACACGTCGCAAATAGCTTTTTTAAATATATATTTTTGTATTCCAGGGCTTCATTAACTCGTTTCGATCCAAATTATGAACTAAAACAGTAATCTTACACCCAATACTAATGAATATGAATTCCATTTGAATACACCTTATATTGATTATTGCTGGTGGTTTGAAAATGCATCAATTTAACTTTAATTAAAACATCAAAATTCCACCATCGCCTTAGGAAAGATTAAACTGCATGTGTTTTATTAGTAAAGGAGAAAGCCCTTCATATGAAACACCCCAAAAACACACTTAAAAAAAAAAAAGCAAAAACACGTAAATGTGAGAATCATATAAGGAGAGAACTGAAGGAACATGTTGCTAAAGCATTAGGATAGAGCCCCAGTTTAACAAGAGAAGGGTGAAAGCTGTGGTGGGTTTATCGAAGTGAAAATGAGGACAACTGACCTACATAGATGTTCCTTTAGGAGCACTGCTGCCATCCTGTCTGGAGAAAACATAAGCTTTCTCTGCACATAACAATGATCAGGGCCATTCCAGACTGGAATAAGGGTCAAATGGAGTAGAGAGGTTCAGAAAAACATGAATTACTGACAAAGCAAATATTCCTGCACTTTTATCGCATACAGATTTCTCAATGCAGTTACAAAAGCAATAATATGCATTGCAATGTCCAAAGGCAAAGTAATCACAGAAAAGCACACTGGATTTATTTTTCAAGATTTATTGTCTCTAATAATACAGACTGGTTGATATTCTGTTAGTGATTTAGCAACTAGAGTAATAGAAGCTCAGATGCCTGCATACATCTTGATTTTTTTCTACACGCGTTTACACACTCATATAGTGCTATATGGAATTATTTCATATTCCTCATTCATAGCTCATCTCTTCCTCTCTCTGAACGCTGAATGTGGAATCTGTCATGCATACAAAGGCAATAATATTATTGTAATATTAACTGGGGTGCAATATTCCCATCTGATGATCTTCATGCTTAAGAGAAAAGCTTATTTACATCATTTCAATCACAATCTTATAAATAGAAAGTAATGTAGTGCATTAGACAAAAAAAGTGCTGTTTATGAAGCAACACTGAAACTTAGAAAGAAGCAACATGTAATTTAACTGATGTGCTGTTACAGGTGTGCATTTATTGGCTGTTATACAATGACTTTGAAAGTGTAAACTCAGAAGAACTGTCCACTGTATACATTAGGGCTGTCAAAAAAAAATTTGAATTTCGAAATATTCTTCGAAAAAAAAAAAAAAAAAAAATCCACATTCGAATGCAAAAACATTGCATTCGAATTTTAGGTCTGCGTCAGCCATCAGGCAGCCTATCAGTGGCGCACGAAATGCGACGACGATGTATGTGGCGAAACTGAAACCAAGCCGTTCACACAGAACGCATATTTATCACATTTTCTAGCGGGGCATCTATCAGCGTTGCACTCGCGTCTGGCACCTAGAGTAATAGAAGCTCAGATGCCTGCATACATCTTGATTTTTTTCTACACGCGTTTACACACTCATATAGTGCTATATGGAATTATTTCATATTCCTCATTCATAGCTCATCTCTTCCTCTCTCTGAACGCTGAATGTGGAATCTGTCATGCATACAAAGGCAATAATATTATTGTAATATTAACTGGGGTGCAATATTCCCATCTGATGATCTTCATGCTTAAGAGAAAAGCTTATTTACATCAGTGTCAAGATATTTACATTAACGCCTCATAGTGTGTCATCCTACTGATCTCTCATCTTAATTGCATACGGAAGTTGCTCAAATCTGATTTAGAAAAATTAAATGCCCTGCTCAGACATTATATAGTAATAATAATAGTTACATATATATATAAGATAGTCGTGTTATTTTATTACGCTTTGAAGAAACGTGCATAATATTTTGCACGATGTGCCCTCTCGTGGCCTCAGGAGAGAAGCCAAAAGCTTTTTCCCCCTAACTGAAATTATGCCTTTTAAATTCGAATATAATTCGAATTTTGATCATATTTAAGTAGAAAATTCGAATTTAGTTTTTCAGTCATTTTGACAGCCCTAATATATATATATATATATATATATATAAAATCTGAATAATATACAATAATAATAATAATATAAAATCAGACTTGGCCCACTTTTTTCTTGTAATGACACAGCCTATAACATTGGCTCATTTTCCATTTATACTCCTAATAACACTCTTATCTTGGCTATAAAATCCAAAGCTAAGGCTTTCGAAGCATATTCTTCAACAGTTAAAAAACAAAAACATTGCATACAAATTGACATTTTTGTATTATACATTCATACCACCAAATAAAAAAATAAACATTAGTAGGCTTCTTTAAAAGATCTCTACACATAACCGAAAAAAAATGACATATTAGTAACTAATAATTTCAACAAAATAAAATCTTTCACAGTAGTGTTTAAAGCTTAAGCAACAGTAGATGCTGACCTCTCTCGTATTTCTTCACAATCTCATTCTTAATGTTCATCTAATGCCCTTTCAATCACACACCACATTAGGAGTTTAATGACTGCTATCTGATGCTCTTCAAAGTCGACATGAAATTCCATTTTACTTCCACACTATGATGTTTCAGAGTGAAACGAGATACTGAACACAAATAAAATGCAGGGCGGGGCTTGATTTCATCCATCAAACATAGATTGGATGGTGCACAGTGGGAGTTTCATAACTAGCTGTTTAGTTTCTTATTAAAATTAGAAAAAAAACACATCACAACAGCACCAACAATGTGCATTAAGAAAATAAACAGGGCCACTTTTGATTTCATGTCGACTTTCATCATTCATTCTCACTGTAGTGACATGTGAGATGTGTCGTCATGTCGTCCTGATGTGATGTATCTGTTGTTCTGACTGCTGCACAAGGTTTTGGAGGACTAGCGATATGCACAGTGCTCAGAAAAAAGGCCTTCACAGTAACATTGGATACATAGCTCTCATATATCTGTATGCTAGATTGATTAAATCCAATCTAAAGGAATAGCAGGCTCTTCTGACGTCAGTAAGGCCAGTTAAAGTAATTTACCCTGTGGTCCATAATCCAAGGAAACCGTTCTGAAAGAAGGTGCTGTTCTTTGGGGAAAAAAATTAAATAAAATAACTAAGCTCCCGAGGCACTGTGGTCATTTTAAAACCATAATCTCTGGACACAAGACATATCATCATCATGGACAGATGCATCTATGATTAGATACATAGTTGAGTTCATACTGGGAGTATTATGACGTTAGAGTCCCATATTCATCAGGTGTGAAATACAAAGATGCATTCATAAAACTAAAAGGTGCTTCACATGTTGTACGGATAATGCCAAATTCATTAAATGTCACTGACCTTTGGAAAGCAAAAATGAAAAAAATAAAAAATAAAAAGAGTTCTATATCCTACAACCTGGATTATTAGACCAAGAGCAGAGATTTTTGGGAAAAATGTTGTAGAGAATAGGGCTGCACGATTAATCAAAAAAAGAAAGAAAAAGAAATTGAAATTCTCAAATTGAAAAGGCTGCTTGTAGTTTAATGTTAAAAAATTAAGAAATTTAGACAAATATTAGTATTGTAACAACTGTACTGTAAAATATTATTTTTCTTAATTTCTTTTAAAGTGAAATATTACAATAATATTATTTGTTATTTTCTTTAATATTGTTATTTAGTAATAGCAGTAGTAATAATAATTATAATTAAAATTAAACAAATATTATTAGTCTCACTGCTATATAATTAAAATATTTGGCCAAATTGTGCAGCCCAACAAGCATAGCAAACCTGGAGATAAAAAAAACAAACAAACACACAATTAGATTTTATTCCCAAAATCGTGCAGCCCTAGCATAGAAGGTAATTTTCTACAAGTTATGCTGACTGAGAGTCAACCACAAATCAAAAATACACACAACTAGCTAGCTGCATCACATGATTAACAGTAGCAGTGTGTTTACATGCATCTTACACAGACTAAGCTGACAACGTAAGATCATGAAAACACTTTAACAGCTGTTTTCCTTAATCAGGGAAAAGGTTTAAGAAAAATCAGAGATGCATGTTTCTCCCATTTTCCTTTTGTACTGTCAGCTTATTCAACGTGCATGGGTCTGTTTAAATAGACAGCAAGACTCGAGAAGTTGTTGCTTGAAGCTACATACAATTTTTTTTAAATCACCTGAAAGTGGCGCAGCTTTGAGAACAAGCCTTAAAATGCACTGGTTTTGATCTTTTGAAATGCAAATCAACTGCTGGAGTCAATCAACTTAGGGGCCGTTTACACGACAACGTTTTCAGCCAAAAACGGGAAACTTTTTATGCGTTTTGCCTGTTCGTTTACACGACAACGGCGTTTTGGGGACTGAAAACGCATATTTTGGAGTGCAAGTTTTTGAAAACGCCACAGTTGTCGTTTCCGTGTAAACCCAAAATGGGAATCTTTGAAAACGGCGACGTCATGCGTGTGTGTAGTACGTGTTAGGTATGTAGACATGCGCAGTACGTGTCGATTTTAAATGCAAGCGCGAACAAACATACACAACAATGACGGAGTATATGGTACTGTTGTTGCTGCTCAAGAGTTTGCTAACGCTTCTTCAGCAAAGTGTGGATTTACTTCACCAATATTACAACCAACAGCGGAGACGCATCATATACACACGGCAACAGGTACTGTTTACTAACAAGGTGACAGCGCCAACTACTGGCCTGGCATACGTAATACAGCGTTTTTGGCCGCTTTCACGGATATGTGTAAACGCAAATCGTTTTGAAAACGCTGTCGTGTATACGTGAAACTTTTTAAAAACGCAAGGGAAAAACTTTTCCGTTTTTGACTACATCGGTGTCGTGTAAACGTAGCCTTAGGCTGCTTTTTGGACCTCCTACGTCTGACTGCTACAAAACTGTTAGTAAAATTAGGACTGAAAAAAAAAAAGCTGTGAAATGTTGCACACAATATAATGCTGTAAGGATGAAAATGTACTGCGATCACTCCAATAACACTGCAAGAAAGAGGCACGAACACTTTCGTACGAATAGAAGCGACGTTCCTAAGGGAAACCGTCATACTGCTCCGAGCGAGCGCGAGAAGATACGACCACCTTCAGCTCTTCAGTAGTACTTCACCTGTCTGGTCAGTATCACAAGTCCTTGAGAAACAGTAGTGACATTGATTACGTAAATGTGAGCGATAGGCACAAACCCTAAAACGAACCGAAAACATCCTCCTAAAGGTGAACGGCACAAACGAACATGAAAAATAAAAGCTAGTGCGTTCTCAGGATTTTCCAGAGAGAAAATTGTGGAACCAGGTGTTTGAAGGCTGTGGTTTCTCTTCAGAGGATTCAGGAATGAGGAACTGGGATGATGTGACCGATGTAGGGCTGCCAAGCGAACCGCTAAAGTTTTCCGCCTCTGGAGAATCCAGCTGCCAGGAACACTGGGGTTTGTAGCCTGTATTCAATCCATCGTCTTGGAAGTCGGCCTCGAATTCGATTTGAGGCTCGGCCGGACCCGCGACGGACTGCATTTGAGGCCTGTAACCTCCGCCACCGCACGCCCCCTGCGAGGAGGTGGGGCTCTGGATGCCCGCGTAGGTGATTTCAGTCTGCGTGGAGCCCACCGAGGCGGTCGAGGAACCGGAGGAGTCTGAGACCTGGTTACTGTGTGAGCCGTCACCGACCACCTGGTTGTAGTATCTCAGCAGGGCCGGTTCATCCGAGTCAGTGTCGACCTCGATGTTGTCATTCTCAGACTCCTCTTCTTCCTCTGGGACCAGGAACAGGCCTTCCTTAGTGAAATCCCTCTCCGGATTCTCCACAATGTGGACCAGACTGTGAGGAGAGGGCTTCACATCCAGAGGACCCTAAACGCAAACAACAGCAAAGCAGTTTGAGGAATCATTTATGTTCGTAGCATTAGGTTTTTAGAAATAGTAATAGTGATTCCTGTCTTAGCGAACACTAATCAAAGGTTTTACCTGTGGGGAGGACCAGTCTCCGGGTACTTTAGGTCCAGGGATTTCAGGATAGAAAGCTTTCTTTACCCTGGAATTACATAAATAAAACAAAACCATAAAGGCAACTGATTTACATCAATGTTGTTACATTGTATGTGTTGTATAACTAAAACGGTGTTAACTAAAACTGAAAAACAAAATGATTTAAAATGTAATAGTTTTTAATTGAAATAAACATTAAATTAAATAAAATATTAAAAACTTAATTTATTTCAGTTTCACTTTTTATTTCAACCTAATTTTCTTTTAGTTTAAACTGAAGTACTACAATTAATAAAACTGAAACTGAAATAAAATTGAATGAAAACTAAATAAACTAAAGCTAAAAGAAATGAAAATTAGTAAAACTAAAATGGAAAGTAATTATTCAAACATTAAATTAAATAAAATATTAAAAACTTAATTTATTTCAGTTTCACTTTTTATTTCAACCTAATTTTCTTTTAGTTTAAACTGAAGTACTACAATTAATAAAACTGAAACTGAAATAAAAATGAATAAAAACTAAATAGACTAAAGCTAAAAGAAATGAAAATTAGTAAAACTAAAATGGAAAGTAATTATTAAAAATATGAATAAACGCTATATTAGTATATTAATGATACTAAAAATACCACTGTGCATCAGTAAGACTGAAAGAATACAGTCTGTTGTAGAACAAGTACTGTAGAAAAAAAAAAGTATTTTTGGCTATTGCTACAAATATATCCCAGCGACTTAAGACTGCTTTTGTGCTCCAGAGTCACATATATCATTTCAGTTAGCTGCCAAGGCAACATTTCAAATTTTAAAAAGTAGTAGTTTTTGAAATACTAAAATTACTAAAACGAAAACTCAAAACTCAAAAACAAAAAAACATCAAAATAAAAACTTAAATTTGAATAAACACTATATTAAGTTAACACTGACGTGAGAACACAATTATAGCACACATACTATCAAGCCATTTTGGTCAAAATAACTTGATTTAGTGGATTTTTAAAAATTATTTAACTTGATGGAAATGCTATTAAAGCACAACAGTCTCTCTTACGTAGCAGCAAAAGATAAAAACTTTAACTTATTTTATTTCAGTTAGTTGCCAGGGCAATATTCCTCATTATAAAAGTTGTACTAAAATAACTCAAATGGAAATAAAAATTGACAAATTAAAAAAAAAAACTAACTACTAAACATGAGGAAACAATGCAACAAAATTACTAAAACTTAAAATGGACAATATAATAATTGAAACTAATTCAAATTTTAATAATCAATATATTAGTATATATTACTAAAATAACAATGACTTGTGTCGATCAGTAAGGCAGAAACAATAGTCTGTTGCTGTAGCTCATACTGCAAGCCATTTAGGTTGAATTGATTTGATTTAGTGGGATTTGGAAATTATTTAACTTAATGGAAATGCTTTTAAAGCCCATTAATAAAGTCCTACCACTCTCTCTTCTTGTAGCAGCAGATGCTGATGAGGATGAGACAGCAGAACATGATTCCCAACGGCACAAGAATGCCAACAAACAACATGTCGGCAGCTGGATGAACACAGAAAAGCAGACGTTTAGGAGAACTATATAATGCAATTTGTTATCTGTAATATCAAAACAATCTAATCTAAATTACAAAGTCACTAGTTGTTCTATATTAATGTAAAAAAAGAAATCTATAAACGAGTGTTGACTTTAATATCAAATCAGCTACAGAACAATGACAGAATATTTGAAAGAATTTCATCATTTCTTACTGTCCATCTCTATTTTAATGTCCACAGTCGACCCTGCATCCTCCCCAGCTGAGGTGTAGGCCTTCACTACGAACTTATAAAAGCTCGGAGACAAACCCTTCACCCTGTACGACTGCACTTCAGGATCAGAGATATTAGCTAGGAACACAACCACACAATTATTAAAATATACAAGGGATAAGATTTACATAATTACAATTTTTGCAAGAGAGAAAAAAATATGCTTTATTAATATTTTTATTTATATACATTTCTATGTGTGAAAGTGCTAACCAATGAGATCCAGATGTGCAGCATTTGCCAGGTAGACGGTGTATCCGCGTATGAAGCCTCTCTGGTGTTCCATCGCGGTGGCTTTCCAAGACAGCAGCACATCAGAGCCAGTCTGAATGGGTGACAGCTTACTAACCGACTGTGAAGGAACTACAGAAGATCCAGCAAAAGAAAGAATAGATTCACATACAAAGTCAAAAACAGACTAAATCTAGCAGTGATTTATGTCATCTGACATCATGAAATCAAAATCGGGGTTTTGTGGCTTTTAATCCATGTCTGCCCGCTTTGAGGTCATTGATATGTGAGTGTACTCCTAAAAGTTAACAAAATAAACATTGCAGATGCTGTATAAATATAAGTATGCTCAGGGTACATACTAATTTGAGTAAAATAAAATGCTGTCTCAAATGAAATGTCTCCTCCTCCTAAGCTATAAATATCTAAATATTCATATTTTCTTGTTTTGTTTAATATTTAATAGCAGCAGTCCTAGTAACTAGTACAGTAGTAGTAGTAATAATAATAATAATACAGTCGTCAGTTGAGCGAATGCTCCCCTTTTCCATCCATTAAGTTGGTATAAAGGTTGGGTTTGTTTTATTCATTGTGTCCTCATTGATTTTGTTCATTCACATGTCAAGTGTGGTGAAATATTACATTAGTAATATTTCTTATTTTAATATTTTTAGTAATAACAGCTGTTGTCATCATATTGCTAAATAATTACAAACTATTTGTTTCAAGTCATGCAGCCCTACAAACAATCACACACCTGGGGCCAGTTGCATAAACTTTGCCTCTATGTTAAGAAAGTGTCTTAAGTACTAGAAGTTATCCAAAGGGTAATCAGTCTTATTTTGGATTCAACTAATCTACGCTTTTATGTAAAAAAAATACGACCAGTCTTATTAGATGACTAACTTGTAAGATTAGTCTAAAGCTTTTATGCAACTGGCCCCTGGATCTTTTTTTTTTTATTGTATTTAAATCACAATTGTAATGTTTTTAATCAGAAAAATCATAATTAAAAAAAATTAAATTGGTGGATTAACCTTTCCAGTAGATGCATGAATACAATATTCACATAAGTGACGGCTTGTTTGTGTTTTACAGAAAGCTACCATTCATTTGCCGCTGCAACAAGTTTAATGGTTTGCTAATATATTTGTCCTGTTGACAAGTGACCTGTAAGCAGAGAAATGCTGTGGAATTCACAGTAAAGGCCCTACTGTATGTGTGAAAGTGCCCTATGAGCGGTGAACAGCAATGTTTCTCTTACTCATTTCCTGGGAGTATCCCTGCCATCTCTGCAGCAGCGTAAGAGCGCCGGTCGAGAGAGAGTACACGGATACGGTGTACCTCACTCCTGCCACCAGAGAGTCTGAAATCAACAGAAACTAATAATCAGTGAAGTGCACAGAGAAAGCATGCAGTCGTGGTGTAAACAAAGAGTGAAGAAATGCAAATTCCAGTAGATTTCCACTATTAGTGGTGTAAAGTTGTCCCGAAAGTATGTGGACACTTAAGTCACACATTTTAAAAATGAATACCATTGCATCAGATGACAAAATAATCAAACAAATGGCATTTATTTTAAAGCACAAGAACTGACCATTAAAACAATCATCAAAACACCCGCTGATTCAATAACGGTGAGTGAAGATGATGAAGAAGAGCGAAGTTAGTGTAAAGAAAAGATCCTGCAGCATTTGAGTGCAGATGTTTTAGTATTTTTTTTATCTATGCAATGCCATTCAGGTATTATTAAAGGGATAGTTCACCCAAAAACCAAATTAAACCCTGCGGCTCATGATGATACATTGATGTGTAAAGACACGAAACGATCGGTCTGTGCAAGAAACTGAACTGTATTTATATAGTTTTTTACCTCTGATTTACTGCAATGTCCGAACTGTCCTGAGTGCATCCTGAGCGCGTTCGCGTCTTCTTCTTCTTCAGCCGTAAAGCAAGAAGAAGAAGAAGAAGACGACGTGTCACGCGCCGGCTGAAGAAGAAGACGCGAACGCGCTCAGGACAGTTCGGACATTGTGGTGAATCAGAGGTAAAAAACTATATAAATACTGTTCAGTTTCTTGCACAGACCGATCGTTTCGTGTCTTTACATCAATCGACTTTACACACACATCATGTTTTTTTGACTCTCAAAGCCGTGATTCCCATTCACTTCCATTATATGACTGACTGACTGCAACGGTTTGAGTTAAAAATCTTTGTCTGTGTTCTACTGAAGAAGCAAATTCACCAACATCTTGGATGCCCTGGGGGTAAGCAGATAAACATCAAATTTTCATTTTTGGGTGAACTATCCCTTTAAGTGTCCAAATACTTTCAAGTATCACTGTATTCCCTAAAAGAATTTATTTGATTAATTGATTTAATCAATTAATTTAAAAGACTCACCTGAGTTCACTGTGAAGCTGCAGTCTGATTCTGGAACTTTCTTCCAGTCAACGGGGCAGAGTCCACTGCAGCCGGTCGGGACCCACTCCACAGCGTACCCGCTGCTCGCATTGACATTAGGCTGCCAGGAGAGGACAAATGATCCATTTGTGCCGAGCAGCTCAGACACAGACAGCTGGGAATCTACAGGAAAGGAGATCACAGACAACGCATGGAGTGTAACACTAGTCTGAATTAGCGGCCTTGTTGTTTACTACAGCTATAAATGGATTAAAACAATTAACTGCGATATATAGCAATTAGTGCCAAAGTTCCACTAAAGAAACTTTAATAACTAAAAATGTTTTTAATAACTAAACATTTTAACTTAATTAACAGTTATTTAGTTTATTTAAATTTCATTTACACATAAAACAGCCATTAAGAAGGCCTTTCTTGGATTATTTTAGTCATTTTTCCATTTATCTACTGAAGTAAACTAAAGGTTGTGACAATTCTGACCAGTCAGAAAACACACAGAATAAAGTCAACCAGTTTTAATGTCAAAACAACCATGTTCAATTCTTTTTAATGCCAATGGCACTAAACATTTATTTAAACTTCAAAATTGATTAACTTTAGCTTCAACTTTAGCCCCATTTTTTTTTTTAATAAATGGGTTCTTAATAATAATAATAATAATAATAATTATTATTATTACAGAAATAAAAACATGTACTTTTTAATTATTTAATACTAATAATGATACTATTAAAGAACACATAATACATACAATATATTAAAATTACTTATATTATTAATATATAAAAATACATTTAACTGAGAGAGACCAGCTGGGTTTCGCGCTGCCACGGCAACGGTGATGTCACTGCTGTTGTTAAGGATGATGGGATAGCTGAAGTTCCCAGGAGGAAGAGAAACCGGTGTCCTCCCATCCTCCTCCGCTGAGCTCTGAGAAACCTCGTAGCCGACTAATGCGCCGTGACTTTTTCTCACGGACAGAGGCTGAATGAAAAGAGGCACATGGCATCATGTTTATTAATAAGAATAACATTATTCAATTTTTGAAACGAGGCACATGGCACCATGTTTACTTAGAAGAATAACATGTTACTCAGTTTTACTGCATCAGTCATATTTCCTATCCTAGATGATGGCAAACATAAAGCTGTTCTTACTTTCCAAAAAACACGTCCTGTGTTACTGCTGTCCATCCACATCCAGACATCAAGAGCATCAGGACCTGAAAATAAACTTTGTTATAGATCTATATATAATTCTATCTATAATAATATAGATAATATAATATAATATAATATAATATAATCTATCTATAATTTATAAACCCCTCAGAGGACCTCAGATGATGCCAACCATGAAACAACATACAGCACTACCAAATTTTGCGATAAATTTGATTGCATCATATAATAATTACTGTTAATAGGGTTCATCGTCTGTTTGATTACGTCTTTAATTGATTACGTCTTTAATTGATTTTTCCGCATTTCTGCCATATGTACATTAACTGACAGTTACTACTGATAAGCTACTACTAAATATTGTACAAACTTAATTTGCTGTAAAGTTGCTTTGCAACGATTTGTATCATGAAAAGCGCTGTACAAATAAACTTGAATTGAATAAACTTGAATATATAAAGTTAATATACAATAAAAATAAAAATAAGAGGAAATGATGTAGAAAAGCAAGCTATGAATGACATGAGCTTAGTGTATTGGAGTTTTTGCACTGACCACTAGGCCACAGTTTTAATTAAACTGTAAATATCTGAGATGTCGTATGTGGTGTTTACTAAACTAGTTTAATTTTCTGCAAATTACCGTATTGACCCGAATATAAGACGATGTTTTTTTCTTGGAAATACATCTGAAAAACCGCGGTCGTCTTATATTCAGGGTCTAGACTTTGACATGTCAATAATACACCCACAACAATAGGTGGCGCCAAATATGCATAAAACGAGTGTGCCATGAAATACGTAATGTGATGCGTGTTGTAAAGATCGCGAGTAAAAACAAAAGCAGAAAACCTTACAGCTGCATGAGTCGTGCCTGTCAGGTTAGCCTGCTGGGACCAAACTCCCTTTGTGATTTTAAAACGTAAGACAGTACCCAGATTTGAAGATTACAGTAAGATTTAACTTCTACTGTTCATAAGATTTTGGTAGGCTACTATTAGATGGATAGCCTAAATGTCCTAATTCAGAAGGGCTACCTGTTTTTTTTTATTTTTTTAATGGTAATATCAAAAAGTGTATATTTTTTAAATGTGATTGTTGGTACATTTTACCAGTTTTTACCATACTTTCAAAACAAAAATTAAAATAGGAAAAATATGCAATATGAAAATAATTGAAGACAAAATGTGTTTTACTGAGAAAAACAAGATTTGGTTTTTAAAAAGCCTTTTTCCCAAAAGGTACATCTGGAAAAAGGGGGGTCGTCTTATAATCAGGGTCGTCTTATATTCGGGCCAATACGGTATTTTAACTACTCACGGTCCATTTTAGTGTGGATCCTGAAGGGGGCGCTCTCATTCCCCCACTTCCAGAAACTGTGCTTAGAGCCGCAGCGCAAAGTCACAGTGTAGTCCACATCTGGCCGCAAACTCTCCAGCACCACAGAAGATAAACCTGGACCACTGTAGTTACGCTAGAGACACAGACAGAGAGAGAAATATCAGCTGATCGCCTTACAAATCAGTAGCTATTTATTACATAATAGTCTTCTAACATGCAATCGGTTATATGATGATTTTGATGGGTTAAACTGATTTTTGATGAATGCAGTGAGTTACAAAACATCACTGCCAAGGGCGTGTTTGTTTTGGTGATTTCAAATATCAACATTGGCTACCAGAAATCACTTACTCTGCCTTTAAAGAACAGTTTGAAATTAGCAAAAAAAAAAACAATAGGGAAAACAATAATTGCAGTGAAAAGGTACCCATAATTATTGTTATAATTTATTTATCTCTCATATTATTTCAAACCTGTACAGTCAGCAATTCTGAAAAAGTATACCTATTTATCAATCTATCTATCCTTTTAATGCCATATCAGCAATGGCTTGGCAAACAGTAATATTTAAATAATTTGTATACAAACATTTAATAATATTAATTTACAAACAAACAAATACATTTCAATTACTTAAAATCTTTTAATCTGATAAACAAATCATACTTTGCCAGGAAATTCCTTTTAAGAAAAAAAGTAATGTAATTGGAAAAATATATTGAAAAACAGCAAGCATGAATTATGTTCAGCCCTATGAAATCAGTTTTATTTTTTTCTAAATTCCATTTTATTTTTTTTCCAAATTTTGTTTTAAATTTTCTGGATTCTGTTTTTCCATTTTAATTTTTCTGGACTCTATTTTGATGGCTAAAATAAATGTTAGCAAATCAAAAAGCATATCTAATTAATTTAAATCATGAAACGTATGCAATTTAGCAACAATTTATAAAAAATAAAATTAATAAAATGACATATTTTGGGCCCTATTAAAATACATGTTTTCTTACATTTTGTTTATTTTATTTTTATTTATTTTTTTACCAAATTCTGTCTTCTGTTTTAATTTTTCTAAATTTGTGCTTAATTTTCTAAAGCCACAAAATAGGTTTATGTAAAGAACAAACTTTAACATTTAAGTCATTATTCAAATACATGTGCATTATTGGGACAGAGGGAAAAATTTTCAGTGAATGAAAAAAAATTACAAAGCTATTGTATTCCTTTAGGCAACTTTCATGGTGCTTTTATTGAACTTCTTGAGAGTCATGCGTTTTTCTTTTTTGATTTGTCATGATCACTTAAAATCCTCAAGATCTTGGCATACAAGCCGTTTTCTGTTTTTTTTTTTACTTGAGTAAATGTCAGTAAATGATGTTAGAAGTTTCATTTTCGGGTGAACTATCCCTTTAACTCCAAGACCACACCAAAAACAAACAGTTCTTTTCAGGTTCTGGGAGCTGAAAGTTGAGCAGCGAACTTACCGTGCTGGAAAGTTCATGGGCGAAGAGCTGCAGCTGGCAGACCATCTCCAGCTTTTTATACGAAGCCACAGACCAGCTCCACTGCAGTGTGGCGCTCCACGCCTCGACTTCAACCGCTGTCACATTCACTGGAGCCAACAGATGTACTGGAAGAGAGACAAAAACCATCACAAGAGTTCATAATCATGAGAATATTAAGACACTCGCTCTGACTCTATTTATAATGTAGATATACTCATTAAAACGGAACATGGATTGAAAATGCGGTACCGCGGTCAGTGAGTTGGGCCGAGTCAGTAAGCTGGACTGTTCCAAGAGGATTTCGAGCCACCAGAGTCCAGCTCTCCTCCCAGACCTTCGAGCTACACCACCATGTCTTCCTTTCATTAGCCTCCAAACAGTCCCTGTGGATAGAAATATGCCTTATAAAATCATATTCATTATTTAATCATATTTAGACTTTCATTTATTCAGACAAGAAATTGTGTGATATTTATATTAAAACATTAATGGGCATCTTGGATTAGCAGTAAACATATACATTACACTAATATGCAGCAAATCAAGCATATTACAATGAATTCTGAAGGAGCATGTGACATGTGGAATAATGGCATGTGGAGTAAAAGTAAAAATTCAGCTTTGCATCACAGGAATAAATTACATTTCAAAATATACTCAAATAGAAAATAGTTATTTGACACTGTAATAATATTTCACAATATTACTCTTTTAGTGTATTTTTGATCAAATAAATGCAGCCTTGATGAGCAGAAGAAACTTCTTTTAAAACATATTTTAAAAAAATCTTAATTATTCCAAGTTTCTGGTCTAGCCGGTACTAGGGCTGAACGATTTTGGAAAATAATCAAATTGTGATTTTTTTTACCAATATTGCGATTGCGATGTAATATGCAATTATTTTTTTTAAAGATCTTTATGTTCTGTATTATTCAACAAAGACAAGCTATAAATCATTGTATAGTATGACCAACACAATAATATATAGATTAAACAAAAATGTTCTTTTCTGTAGGCCAGGCTTACATTGATGTCATACACGATCTGATCTTCAAGTCGAACTCCCCTCTTTACTCTCGCGTGTCACGTGACCGTGTAATCGCAGCCTCTGCGATTGAAAAATCGCGTTATTTCATATCGCGATATTATCGCAAATGCAATTAATCGTTCAGCCCTAGCCGGTACTGTATGTAAATTTATTAGAATTAATTATTATAATAATAAATAATTATTAAATATCTCATATTAACTTCTACATAATCACAATAGTTAATATCTTAATTGTTTCTATTTTATATAAAAACATACATACAAAATGATATTGATATAATCTCACCAGAAGAAATGGTATAATAATTTCATTAGAACATTAAAGGGGTCATATGATGCTTTTTTAAAGATCATTATTTTGTGTATTTGGTGTAACAGGATATGTTGACATGCTTTAATGTTCAAAAAACACATTATTTTTCAAATACTGTACATTGCACATTTGGGCATTATGCTAATATTTCCACATAGTGAGGTAGATATGTGGGGGCGTGTTAGAACGAGCCGTTTTAGGGGGGCGTGGCAGAGTCTTAACTTTGATAAAGAATATCTCTTTGGTTTTGAGACTTTAGTCTTTGCAACTTCAGGGATCTTATCTATGCACAATCAGCTTGTAACACTCCAAAAGAGAAAGGAAAACTTGAAATCGCATCATATGACCCCTTTAATGGAATTCTTGGATTAGCAGTAAAAATATACATTGCATTACACAAGTATCCTTTTCCATCTCATTTAATGTGGTTTGCTGTTTGGGGATCTTTTTATGTACCGAGGACATTCTGGTACCAAGAGCCAAATGGGATATCGTGTGTGCGGTCAGTGGTTCTTGTGTAGTGTGTTTCTTGCCTTCCATTAAGGGTGTATTTAGTGCGGCTGCGCTTCATTCTCAAGCGAGTGTCTCGTCCTTTCTTCCAAGAACATTCTGCGGATGCAAGGTCCCGCGTCTCGCAGACCAAGCCCTCATCGCCCGGCGGATCTGCAGCAATTACATACAACAAAGCCACATGCAAGTCGCTCTTTAACACTGCACAGCAATCATCTAGTGCCAGTCATTACGCTAAAAATGAACACTCAAATTATCTTGCTTTCTGAAGTTGTACGTGCATTTCACAGTGCTGGATTGAAGTTTATAGAGCTTATATATCGTAACATTTTAGCAAACCGCTTATGAAAATAAATACCTAGTAGAAAAACTACAGCCACTTTCATTCATATAGCCTTTTTCATGAAATGCAAACAGGACCAAATGTTTGGACTCAATTTGGGAAAAAAAGAAACAGAATATAAAAATGGTATATACAATTATAAAAAAATATATATATTTTTTAATTAATTATATTATTATTTTGTCACTTTTGATTAAAAACAGCAGGATAAAAGTATTAATTTAAATATATATATACAGTGCCTTGCGAAAGTATTCATTTTTTTCACCTTTTGTTATGTTGTAGCCTTATGTTAAACTGCTTTAAATTACTTTTTTTCCACATCAATCTACACTATATACACCATAATGACAAAGCAAATAACAGGTTTTTAACATCTTTGCAAATTTATTAAAGATAAAAAAACTTAAATGATTCCATTGCATAAGTATTCATACCCTTATCTGGGACAGCTGAAATTTAGCTCAGGAGCATTCATATTGCTTGTAGATGTTACT